TCATTTCTGCTGTTTCCAATAATCTTTGTGTTTTCGCGGTATCTGCTCTTGTTTCGTTTGTGTACGTCATTATCGGTCTTATTGTTGATTTATATATCCTAGTTTTCGTTTCCGTTGTGAGGTATTTGTTTCTCCAGATTGTATTGTTGAGACATCCTGCTGCTCTGTTCGCCATCTTCACTTGTTTTTGTACTTCTTCTTCCACTTTTCCATAGCTTGACAGTTTGATTCCCAAGTATTCCGTTTCCATCACTTGTTCTATTATTTTGTTATTTACGACCAGTTTACAGCATCTCGGTTCCGCTGATATCACTATCGATCTGGTTTTCTCTGTTGAAATCACCATGTTGTATATGAGCGCCAGATCTTCGAATTCTTTAATAAATCTTTGTAGGTCATCTTCATTTTCGGGTATTATACTAAGTGACATATAAATCCGAACACCCAGTTTAAATGGTTTTATTTTTATAAAATTTTGTATAAGTACTTAATGAAGCATAATAAGTAAATGATAAAAATTTCAAAATGATTGCACTGCTTTAAAGCCCTTTGACCTTTAATAATGTGTGGATGCACCCTGATGTGCTACGCATTCTCCAACGCGCCTAGGCATGCTTCTGATCAGGTGGTCAATGTCCTCCTGTGGTATCTCATTCCAGGCAACCACCAACTCCTCTCGAAGTGCTTCTAGAGTCTGAGGAGGACTTTGCAAATTGAGCAATCTCCTACCCATCATATCCCACACGTGCTCAGTTAGGGATAAGTCGGGAGATCTTGGTGGCCATGGTAACAATGTGACATCATTATGTTGAAAGAAGTCTATTGTGACTCTTGCAACACGTGGTGGGGCGTTATCTTGTTGGAACGTTGGATCTGCCAGGGTGTCAAGATAGGGTAAAAGATGGGATTTTAGAACTTCGTGGATATAACGCTGCGCGTTCATGTTACCTCTGATGAAGATTAAAGGTGACCTGGAACCATAAGCTATAGCACCCCAAACCATAACTCCAACAGTGTGATGAACATGTCTTTAAACAAAAAACTGTGGATTCCTCCTTTCACCACGTCGCCTTCTAACCCTGGCACGACCATCGTGCATGCCTAAACAAAATCGAGACTCGTCACTAAAGACAATACTGTTCCATTCCTGATCCCAGAGTGACCGTTGTCTGCACCACTCAAGGCGATTACGTCGGTGTTCTCAAGTTAAAGGGAGGACCCGGTGTGGCCGGTATGAAAACAAGCCAAAACTTCTCATTCGTCGGTAAACACTTCGCATGCCAACAGGTCTTCCGTGTTCTGCAAACCATTCATTTGCAATGGACCTGGTATTGGAGAAACGGTCCCTTAAGGCCAATAATCTTAGGCGGCGATCTTCACGGTCTGTTGTTCTACGGCGGCGTCCAGTGCCCCTTGCTCGTTGCGTACGGCCTTCTCGAAGCCATGCCTGAGAACACCTAACCACAGTGTCTACACTTCTTTGCACTCTAACTGCAATTGCCCGAAAAGAAAGTCCAGCTTCCCGAAGTCCCACTATACGGCCCCTATCAAACTCACTAAGTTGACGAAATCGTACAGGTCTCCGTACTCTAGGCATCGTAACCGATCGTAAAGGATGTCAAGAACCAAAATCCGCCAACGTTGATTCTTTACTGTGGCTGAAATATTCATTTTTAGAGCGTTAGTGAATTAAAAAAAAATCAGTATAAAAACCCGAACGTCCAACTGATAAGGCTGAAAATTTTTTCACTTGTTATTTACAGTAAGATAAATACATTCACCAACTTTTATTAAAATAAAACCATTTAAACTGGGTGTTCGGATTTATATGTCACTTAGTATATTAGGGCATCGTCGGCGTAGCATATTACCTGCATTTCCTTTTCTCTCATTCTATATCCTCTTCTTTTTTTAACTTTCTTTATGATTTCATCCATTATCAGATTACATATTAGTGGGCTCAGCGAATATCCTTGTCTAATGCCAGTTTCATACTTGATAGGTTGCTAGAGTTTTCCTTTACATCTTACCATAGCTATGTTATCTTTATATATATTCTCAATAGTTTTTACTAAATCCAGTGGTATTCCCCTGTCATATAATAAATATGGAGGAATGCGTTGTGTTTTAAAAAAATGGCTTCAAGCAGGATTATGTTCAGCATAAACTAGACCCTCTGAGAAAAAAGTTGGTCAAACATTCATTCTTTCCCTGCCCTACCGGTAGTGTATCTGGCAACGTTGCCTTAACTATGTCAGACAATGTAAAAAACTTGAAATTCCTGTTTCACTTGTTATAGCTTAAATTTTTCGATGGAATTTCATATGGGACGTGTCTCTAGATTTCTATTGATAGCACAATTAAGAATTCATTCTTAACAGTTACTACAGTAGGGTAGTTTGTATTTTTTTTTAAATGTAATTGTTTTCAATAAAAAAAGTTTTTCGGCTGTTTGGTGGTATTTGGCAACTTTTCAGCATGGCATGCTTGGTCTCGGTGGCCAACGAACGAAAGCTAAACAAGTCTATACAGAGTATAAGATCTATCGGAATAAGACATCTATTACCAGAAAAAAATCAAGCTATAGCAGGTCTCATTGCCAGTTTGTTCAAGCGAGAGTTGACCTTATCTACTATATCGCCAGAATTGGCGGCATCTTGCGGCCACAGTGGTGACCCGGCTGACAGTGCGAACTAGCCTACAGCACCTGTTAGCTTGCTTTTTTTACTTTCGCAATGTTCGATTCTGGTAATAGATGGCACTTATTTCGTTATGACACTTTATTGCCCATTCAGTGGCGTTCATCAATACAGACTTAATTTTCTTTATTCCATCCAAGGAAGTCAAAACTACTTGAGATTCATTTAAGTTTTAATCACCCTTTCGTGATTCTCCACAGCTCTTCTGCTTATTTCCATATGAAAGGGACGCCTTACTAGGAAATCCCTGAACTTCCGTCGTCCGCAGCGAAGGGTATTAAAAATTAGCATCCTGTACAACCGTATACAGTGGAAAACGATTATTTTCGTTCTGCTGTGCAATGTTTCACATGTGGTATAAATTATTCAAACATTTTAATCTCGCACGGGCTAAATGCATAGAGATTGTTTTGTTTTGAGACACACCTATACTAAGTGACATATAAATCCGAACACCCAGTTTAAATGGTTTGATTTTAATAAAAGTTGGTGAATGTATTTATCTTACTGTAAATAACAAGTGAAAAAAATTTCAGCCTTATCAGTTGGACATTCCGGTTTTTATACTGCTTTTTCTTAATTCACTAACGCTCTAAAAATGAATATTTCAGCCGCAGTAAAGAATCAACGTTAGCGGATTTTGGTTCTTGACATCCTTTACGATCGGTTACGATGCCTAGAGTACGGAGACCTGTACGATTTCGTCAACTTAGTGAGTTTGATAGGGGCCGTATAGTGGGACTTCGGGAAGCTGGACTTTCTTTTCGGGCAATTGCAGTTAGAGTGCAAAGAAGTGTGACACTGTGGTTAGGTGTTGTCAGGCATGGCTTCGAGAAGGCCGTACGCAAAGAGCAAGGGGCACTGGACGCCGCCGTAGAACAACAGACCGTGAAGATCGCCGCCTAAGATTATTGGCCTTGAGGGACCGTTTCTCCACTACCAGGTCCATTGCAAATGAATGGTTTGCAGAACACGGAAGACCTATTGGCATGCGAAGTGTTTACCGACGAATGAGAAGTTTTGGCTTGTTTTCATACCGGCCACACTGGGTCCTCCCTTTAACTCGAGAACACCGACGTAATCGCCTTGAGTGGTGCAGACACCGGTCACTCTGGGATCAGGAATGGAACAGTATTGTCTTTAGTGACGAGTCTCGATTTTGTTTAGGCATGCACGATGGTCTTGCCAGGGTTAGGAGGCGACGTGGTGAAAGGAGGAATCCACAGTTTTTTGTTGAAAGACATGTTCATCACACTGTTGGAGTTATGGTTTGGGGTGCTATAGCTTATGGTTCCAGGTCACCTTTAATCTTCATCAGAGGTAACATGAACGCGCAGCGTTATATCCACGAAGTTCTAGAACCCCATCTTTTACCCTATCTTGACACCCTGGCAGATCCAACTTTCAAACAAGATAATGCCCGACCACATGTTGCAAGAGTCACAATAGACTTCTTTCAACATAATGATGTCACATTGTTACCATGGCCACCAAGATCTCCCGACTTATCCCCAATTGAGCACGTGTGGGATATGATGGGTAGGAGATTGCTCAATTTGCAACGTCCTCCTCAGACTCTAGAAGCACTTCGGGAGGAGTTGGTGGTTGCCTGGAATGAGATACCACAGGAGGACATTGACCACCTGATCAGAAGCATGCCTAGGCGCGTTGGAGAATGCGTAGCACATCAGGGTGTATCCACACATTATTAAAGGTCAAAGGGCTTTAAAGCAGTGCAATCATTTTGAAATTTTTATCATTTACTTATTATGCTTCATTAAGTACTTATACAAAATTTTATTAAAATAAAACCATTTAAACTGGGTGTTCGGATTTATATGTCACTTAGTATATTTTGATCAGAGTCGAGCAAGTTCGCAAACATTCCAGGCCTCGCCTCGCACAGTGATCAAAATTACATTGTGAATTTCAGACCAACCAAAATTATTTTAGTGTACAAAACCGAATAAAATTATTTTTTGGAGTTACAAAATTAGTCGAGTAGTCAAACCAATAATGCTGAAGCTATTTCAAATGATTCACTTCTTTTCTCTGCTCTATTTCTTTCCCTTTTCCCCATAAACATGTTTGGTATCTGGGTAGCCAGACCGGACGGACTAACAGACCGACGAGACGTTTAACTAAGAACAAAGGTCCACCGGACCGCTCTGACTAACAACGACGAGTGACAGGACATTTGTCAAATATTTTTCCCAAGAAATAAGGTAGCGTTGTTTGATCTAAGCTTGCGGTTGCATTGATTATTTTACCTGAAGATAGCTAACCTGAAACCTCGGCGCTCAGAAAACTATGAGTCCATGAGATTTTGTCACAGGTATGTTCCTTTTCTCCGTAGTAACTTTGTTGAAAAATTTTGTATTTCATAGATGGCGCTGTATCGAACTGTATGAGCTTACCTACATGAGCGTATAGTTCTTATAATATGAGATACGAACCTGTGCACAGTATTCTTGCAGATAAGAGAAACATAGCCGTGACAAATTGTCATGGATGTCATGGCGCTTTGATATCTCGTTTCATCTCGTATATTTTTTTAACACCAAAATGCACTATATGGTTGGCTATATTTATATAGAATATGTTAATCACTGCTACTTGTTAACTTCAAAGTTTCCTCATTGGCTTTAAAAGTCAGAAGACTGAATCGAATCAAGTATTTTTTGAATGGGGACTTCTTTTATCAACTGTTTCTAATTGTAAAAATTTCGGGATCATTAATTGATTCTTTGAGACAAATCCTGATTTCAACCCTGCATATACTGATAGAATAACTTTGATGAAGATGTTAGCTTGCCAACTAACAATGCTTACTTACCCCTATCCAACCGGTGCATGTTTAATTTGGTAAGGTTCAGGAGCACAAAGGAACATGAGGTGGATTTCAGTCAAATTTATCTCGACAGGGTTTTAGACGACATACGGTAATTTCGTGAAAGACCCGCATTCAGCAGTGCACTAGATATGAGCTCAGTATAGTATACAGACATGAGATTAGTAGTATTACTGGCAGAAGCATCTTTCCACCAACCTTCCAGAAACGCGGCAAAATGGGAATTCTGAGCAAAGCAGTCGTTCCAGTCAAAGGGAACCCACAGCCTTAATGTCAGGACAGACAAGCGTTGATGAATATGGAACAACGCGCCTCGATAGTGTGTCCAGTTTAGGCTTGCCAAATGGCTGGGAAATCCGGGAATGTCCCGGGTTGTTGTGACTTGTCCTGTTTCCAGTAGTAAGACTGTAATGTCCTGAATTCCGAACATCTAGACAAATAATTATTTCTGTAATTTAAGATAACTTGTGTTGTTCTTGTACCAGAGCTTACCTTATTGATTAGGCATAAGGTGATGCTTAGCTGTCGGTTCCAGCATTAGCTGGCTCATTTTTTCCTTGAAGTTTAATTAAATCGATGAGGTAAAGCGGAATGTGAGTTCTTATTTTCATTATACAAGCTTTATTGATTGTCAAAGTATAAATTAATCCGTAAATAAAAGAGGAGTGCTCAATTTTGGTTACCTTATTATAATATTATAAAATATATGGAATATAGAGTCAAGTAACTTTAAATGATAGGAGTGTAGTAGAGTACGTATTTGAAAAAAAATAAGTTCTTTCATTTCTACCATTAAAATAGAACATCTTAAAATATTTTCGAAGACTAGTTGAAATATATTTTTTTCATACATTTAACATATTCTTATCGCCCGACTCCGTTCCCTTGAATTGTCCCGAGAATGATAAGCCTGTATCTGGGAACCCTAGTCGTGTTCCATCTTTATCGATAGCTTTGTTCTAGCAAAATGTTCATTTTATGTTCAGAACATACATCTCTTTCTAGGAATATGGCATGATTCGGACAAGAACTAGTTCCGACCCTGTTGGAACGATTTTCCTAGTTCTGTGCGTTCATAATTTACAAAAAGCTAAATTTGGCACACGGTTTTGTGTATTGCGAATTTCATTTAGTTGTTGCCAGTCATGGAATATGGAGTTTCTTGCTGGTTCGTTATAGGGTTCGTTAACGCAAAATGGAAAATCGCAGTAGAAGTGCACAAAAAATGCAATTATTTTTGATTCATAATTTTTTGTTTTAAATGTAAGCTACAAAGCAATACATCCAAAATTTACCTGACGCTTGACTTTTATCTGCCCATGCCTAACCTTATTTGTACCAAAAATGTTGCTAATTTTGTTTAAAATATTATTCAAATAAACTACTTCGGAACAAACACCCAAAGATGCTTGAAAAACGAACAGCAATAAAAACAGCTGGAATATGGAATACAGGAACGAAATTATGAATTGCTTATGCGCGTTTAGTACTGAACGTCTTTCATGTTGGAATACAGCAAATACGACACTAAGGGCTCGCGCAGACAGAAAGCGTTCCGAGTTCCGGGTTCTGCATTCCACGTTCTATGGACCTAAGAGATCTCTATAGAATCGCGCCAGTCAGTGTGAACGCTCGCGTTCTTGTGTTTTGTTGTCAGAAATACTCGTGGAACTCCTCGTTCGCAAGATGGCTTCTATAGAAAAGTTAATTGATTTAGTAAGGAAACGCGTTTGTTATGTGATCTTAGTAACGCAGACTATAAAAATAGTTTTAAAAAAATGCAGCTTGGCTTGAAACAGCCACGGAAATGAGAAAATACTACCAATCTTACTTTTGTAGATATAGCTTTTCTCCAGTTGGTGTCTTGTTTCTCTATTTCCTTTTTTATATAATCATGCTCTGGCTGCCTTGTTGGCGGAGAGGTAGACGTGAGCAGAAACTGTTTTGATTGCGGTGAGATCCTACTACTCATAAGTCCGTATACTTTGGATATATGAACGTAATCCGTCCCTAAGTAACGTGATACGACTTTTGGGCAGAACGCCACAGAATATGTTCGTCTGTTTTGAGAGAAGCTAATGGAGGAGGCCTTTATTTGGGGAGCTATCATCTCGTTCTTTCCGAACTCATCAAACAGATGTTTATTGCCATTGAAGGCTGGCATACCATTAGTCACAAAATGTCAATGGATGCAGGCTATACATATAGCTTCTGGCATTCGGACGATGTGTGAAATACGTCCAAAAACTTTGGTTGTTCTACTGGTACCCCAACTAACAATTATCACTCCTATTAGAGTTGCAAGAATGATTATACAGTATTCCTTACACAGCATTGTATACTGTAAGAGCATTGGCAAAACCCTCTTAGAACAGCTATACAAGCGGAATGGGCACACCTAATAGGACACTTCAGTCATTTAAGAGGTTGTATAAGGGCTGCAGGTAACAGTTTTACAACAAAAGTGTAAGACTCTTGCAGCCCCTAGAGGACATTTTCGTCAGTGCAAGATTCAGTTTTTGTCAACTATACAACTATTCTGCTACGTGATTTTACTTTATTGCAACCAAACTATTTCTTATGTATTGTATAGACGAAGTGAAGAATATATAACTAACACATTACAGTCATCTTGTTTACTTACATATCGAATTTCATACACAGGTATATAATAAACTTCTACACTGTGATATAGGGTTATTGAATTACTTGCGCAGCAAATTTCATTGTGATTATCGTGCAAAGTAGTTACGCAATTTCTTTGGGCTTCTTATTTGATTCATATTTCAATAATGATCAAAAGTATGTCTAGATTTTTAAGATGGAAAACTGAACTTATCTGCATTAAATCTTCCACAAATCCTATATTTAGACACAGTTACACTAATGTTTATCACTTTATATCTGTAATTTCGAACTGAAACATAATTATTTAAAACTAAATAGAGAAATAAATGTTGACCAATATGGCGGGTGGTTATGTATAATCATGGCATCGTTCTGTTGTCTTTGGTTTATTAGAATATTTTGGTGTTGTCTGCAGGTGTTATACAACAATTTGACAAATGTCTGAAATGAAATGCCGACAGAGTCTAATGATTTACCCAGAATTTGTACCAGATCTATATCTTCTGTTCGAACAGTTGATAAAACCTTTTGTACCAATATGCATGCGTTGTTTGTCTTAAAACATTGGTTATGGCATTTTAACAAAAATATGACAGCAGAAAGTTAGGTTATGGTGAAGTTGTATACCAACATATTTAGCAACAAATGTATGCCGAGCACAGCAATTTTGTACTACAAAAGTTGTAATATTGTTGCAGATGTACAGCCTTTAACAGCTATTAAATAACAGTTGTATAAGTGCTTCCGTTGGGAGCAATTTGTTGGTTAAAGTAGTAAATTTTCACAGCAAAACAACAAGGCTTGGGTTTGTTGTATAAACTTTACCATGGATGCCACAACACAACCGTTTTGACTAACGTGCAAATATGCCGTATAAAATAGTTGTATAAACGTTTATGCAACAGTTAAAAATTTGTCCTATAAGGTGTTGTATAACTATGCTATAAGAATATTTTAAACACCTCATTTTAGAGCAAATATGTTGCAGAAAGCAAATTTGCATTCCACACAACATTAAGTCAGCATTTTGGTGTTCAGGCAACAACAAAGAGAGCTTTTATGGCTGAACGGTTCTTTTACCAAAAGCTTATAGCATTACTTTGCTAGTTGGGACTTCTTGGTTATAACATTATTACGTAACAACGTTTTTCATTACCAACGTCGAAATATAAATAGAAAGTCTAGATTTATAAAAAAACTCGATTTCCCATTTGTAACCATACTGTGTGGACTGAACTTGCAGCATTGACACCTAACTTGTTAGAAGTGTTCCTAGACACAACGCTACTCATTCACCATCATATCAAATCTGCATCCAGTTCTGACAATCCATTAGCAAAATTTTAGAATTTGATAGTTAAAGATGCACTACGGAAGAATTTTAGACTAATGTCTGGACGATCTTATTACCTCATTCAGACGTCCTAAATTGCATGCTGAATTTACAGTTATTGCACTATCTATGCTGTCCTGAAAAATTCTAAATACATATTAAACTCTTTTCTTCACAATCTTACATTTCCCACGTTAAGTTTCTGATAAAATTTGCTTGATTTCCAGCTTAAATATATAAAATCTGTACCTTACTGGAAAAAAGTCTCAATCTATATCCACATAAATTATCGCGATAGACACGCTCCCATTTCGATTTGTTCAGGAAATAGCATTTTTCAGTTATGGTCTATCGCGGCAGATGTAAATTTGGCCAGCCAAATTGGATTAAACTGAACATCCCCTAGCGCATTCACAAATTACACAGTAATCGTTGCAATCTGGACGTAGTCGATTACTAGATTGGACATCGCGATGTAAATAGGAAAATCCGGCCGTTTCCAAATCAGATCTTTAAAAATGGGGAATGCGCAAGTTGATATTAAAGCTAAAGATATGCTGAATGTGTCATGTAAACCATTCCTGTCGGAAATGGTGAAAGCGTGGGGCCAAGATTTGCAAAATGAGAAGAGTCCGACTGAAAGTTAGTTTTTCGGCCGAATCAAATTCTTGTAAGTAGAAATTTTTGTTTAAATATGTAATACTGGTTCGAAACTTGTTACACACAGCTGTTGTGTTTTTGTCTTTTCTTCTGTGCCGTTTTGTGGAGCTCATTGGCCTTGTTCCTCTTACATTGCTTGACTCCTTGGTCTTTTATGACGCTGTATCATTCTGGGGTCGTAATCCATAGCGACCTTAATCAGAGCGCGATGATGTCTCTTGTAAAATTTACGGTCCAGTAAATGCACAATGCAAATGCCCTATTTATATAACCCTACTCATTTCAGTCGAGCCAGCGACTGAGTGCTTCCGCGCCAGACACCTCATGTCAAATTTCATTAAGCCGTTTGGTCTGTAGCCGCTGAAATAGATATCTCAAAATTATTTCGCGTGATAAAAGGTAGCCTGTTCTATTCCAGACTATAATCTATCTTTGTTTCAAGTTTTATACATATCCATTCAGCCATTTTGGCGTGATTGAGTAACAAACATCCACACTTTGTCATGTATAACATTAGAGATTTCATGTAACGATACTGGTAAGAAACACCAGGTCAGTTAAAGTATATCGGAGAAAGACACAGAAAGTTTTAAAATTCGGATTATTTTTGTTAATAAACCGAAAATTCCTGAAATGATATGGTGATGAAATTTTCAAAGACATTGTTTATTCAACTGAAAGAGTAATTCAAATTATCTACAAACTCACACTGCAATATTTGAAACACTTGATTTGTATAATTTTATAACATTTAACATGTAAATTGTTGTTGGGCAAAACATTTTCAAAACCGTACCTTCCAAGCAAAAGTTAGTTCTACAAACGAGCTAACCATGTATGTACATCTGTTTATTTTTTAAAGTGGCATACGTTTCAAAATTAAAATTGACTTCAACATCTGAAATGAATTTTTTACAGAACAAAAACCAGTAAATAGCCATAGAATTTTGACACTAATTATGAAACGAATGTCAATACTGTCAAAAATTAAAGATCAGAGTCCAAAAATAGTAGCATCAACACCACATTTGGAACTGGCGTTCCTGTTTGTTTGTTCATCAAATTTTTGAACATACACGCTCTGGTACTAACTTTTGACAAGTGTTCAACTGTTCCTCAGATCGACAAGTATGACTATGCGCATTTTCAGTATTCGGGATTTCTGCACAACTTCTCGTGACTACTGATTTTTTGGAATATTTGGCTCTAGGCCTTTGAACAAACCTTCGGCCTTGTAGCCGAATCAGAAGCTTCCGTTGTACCCTAACAGTAAGAATGATGCACATTATGTGATGCACGGTCCTCTCATGTCGTAGATAGTCACGTTGTAGTATTTTCTATGCCACACTTTCATATGTTAAGATAGCTTATGTTAATTGAACTTTCTTCTTTCCAGAAAAAGCTGGATATCGAGTTAGAAGCTCTAAAGAAGAGTAACTGGCTGGCTTGGGCGGGACTAGGATACATGTCAGTCCAGTTTGGCATCCTAGCTAGATTAACATGGTGGGAGTACTCCTGGGACATCATGGAACCTGTCACATACTTCGTTACCTACGGCACTGCCATGGCATGTTACGCTTACTTCTTATGCACTAGAGAGGTCAGTATGAATTGTGCTAGATTTAGTATTAGTGTCACTATATCGTAATTAAATTATCTAGGTACGAAATCCAGAAAATCGGCTATAAAGGGTGCTTTTAGGCCCGTATCGTCAGTCCCTACAATTGTAGGGCGCCTTTATGGCCTCCTTGATTGTCACAGTTTTCTACTTCTCCGTGTCAGCGCTCTATTTTGAGGTTATGTCACAAACATCTATTTGCATCAAATTGCATCAAATTGTGCTTGTTTTTGAGTTATATCATGTTTTATCAGCCTGAAATGTCCTACAATTTAAAAAGAAAACATATCTTCACAATAGGAGAGCGCTGACGCTGACACGGGACAAGTGTAATCTAGAAATTTGTGAAGGAGAGAAAGCAGTATGACAATCAAGGAGGCCATAAACGCGCCCTACAATTGTAGGGACGACTGACGATACGGGCCTTAGAGATGGGACTTTCCTTTGCAGAGCGTGTAGTGAAACAAACTTTTCTAGTAACACATACACCAAAGGTTAAGGATAACCTAAAATATTAAGTTCCGAAAAAACGCTGCGATATTAAACATTATCCCCAGCAAGCCAGGCGCTGCATGCGCTGTAGGTAAACCGATCTGTTTGTTTATGACGTGGATTTTTAAGACACTGTTAATGCTTCGCGAATGCATTCAGATCGTTTTCCTGGATGTTTCCATCTTGCAGCGCGCAACCTTGTTTATGTCATACCGTTTGCGGGAACGTAGGCACGGTAGAAGGCCTCGACGACTGCAAATTGTAAAAGAAACTATCAAACTTGAACGAGAACTTCGAACATCAACGTGTAACAAGGCGATACTCGAAATGTCTTAACAAACGAACAGATAGTACTTTTTGATCTTTTTTACTTTGGCTTATCGCACATTAGCTTTGTTATTCCCTGAAAAGGAAAATCCCAACATTTCGGAACAGCATGTATTTAAAGAAGCTATTTTGCACTTTTCCCCAGACTTTAGATCGCAATCCGGAAACACAGCTACGCCCCTGATGAAGAGCGGTTTTCTCTTTGCCTTTTTACTCCGTGGGCCACGGAGCAAAAACTTCAATTGCAACGCTGTTCAATAACTCCTGAGGTGTGATTCTGTAACTTCTCGGAAAATTACTAATCTGAAACTTTCCGAAAAAGTGTTCCGGTAAATTCGTCCCTCGCTTCGACGGTGGTCTTTTTGATTTTATATCAAATGTTTGTTCAAAAAGTAATAGCCTAAAGTCTAAATAAAACCTTTCCAACTGCTAAAGAAGTATATATTGAAGTAAGGTCGTCAGAAGTTGCTGAAACGCAGGTAATGACAGAGGTGTGAATGGATTCCACGAACTATAAGTATATATATTATAGAGAAACCTTGTTTTTGTTTTGTTAATGTATAGATATATATCATTTTTATATTGGTAAATTTAGGTTTTGCTGAGTAAATGTGGTAAAGTTCAGGGCGTACTGTTCTCTCCAACAACAACAACGCTCTAGCGAGTTAAAATGGCTTTTCTTATATGCTCCATACAATTTTCAATGTCAAAATTCACTAACGTATTCAAAGATGGGATAAATGTTTCGAAAGAGTAACGAAAAGAATAACTTCCTTTTTGCTTCTGAGAGTGTCAAACTTTCCAAATCTCCAACCCACTGCTATAGCCTCAGGCATGTATTTTTTATATGTATTGGCTATGGTATCAGTACTACTTGAACAAAATTCTATCAACTCAATACCTTAATCGACTCCTACGATATTTTTTTTTCGATTTCGATGCCATATCAAGATTACCAAATTATGATTTGTACGAATTTTTAGCTTTTTTGATAGAGATTCTTGGGATTTTTGGCCAAGGGCAGATTTAGAGATGTTGGTTGACAAGTCCGCCATTTAAAATAAACTGGTATACAGGGTATTTCTTAATGATATGCGAATATTTAAGGATGTGAATCTACAAAAAAAATTAATGTTAGTTTGCTTTATAAACTACGGTCCAAAAATGTTTCCTTACAAAAACCCGGGGTGTTGAAGTTTTAGGAAAAAAATAGATATTAATTAATATTTTCAGAACCGCTTCAGATATTTCACTGATATTTAGTAGGTAGTGAAAGTTAATAATGTTGCATATTTTTAAATGCAAAAATAATTTTTAGTTTCAACAGTGGCGTGCGACCATAGCTTATAAAGCAAACTAACATTAATTTTTCATGTAGATTCACACCCTTAAATATTCGCGTATCATTAAGGAACACCCTGTATATTGCTGTATCTTGATGTAAAAATTAGGTTGTCATGAGATGTACCCCACCGTAGAAGAACCACTTTTCAATTGTCATAAGGGCATTTGCTCTCAGAACCGCTACTTAAGTGCCCCGCCCCTCCCGCGCGCTTCAATTTCCAATCGCCGCTTCCACAACCATGAATGATGCAACCACCGCTGCACCTCCTTCCCTAAACAGATTCCTAAATCCTAAATCAAAATGACATATTCCTAGAGTTCGCAAACGAGCCGGCTTTAAAAACGACCACCACCTGACACCATCATTTTCTCTCCAGGAGTTCGACTCTTCAGATGTTAGAGATCGTCAGCAAACCCTCCTTATGTACAAGGTCGCCAAATCGAAAGGTTTTGACTTCTCCACATTCAACAAATTGAAAGTCGAAGAGTTCAGACTCTTGACGCTTTTGAAGAAACTCCGGCATCCGTTGAAGTTCAGACCACCTTTCAGACCTGCTACGAAACCTCCTCCACCCACGCCAATGCAACTAGAGGAGGCACCTGAGAAGTAGTCGGTGACGTAAACTGATAGACAAAAAATAAAAACATATTTATAGATAACGGAATAAAACTTTTTTACTTTAAAAATTGTTGATTCATTATAAAATTGTTTCTTGAAAAATCTGTCCGATAAGTAAAAAATTTGGGTACATGACAAGATTAATAGTGGAGTGCACTTAGGTTTCCCGGGTTCTCTTAATGACTTTAGAGATTTTAGGTGAAATGCATTTAAAAATACTGTAGATTAAAAAGTTTACTCATTAATTTTGTTCGCTTTTGATTTTCATTTGCTTTCATTTTTTTTAATTTCATATATTTAGGTATACGGTAGTGTTTAGGTTTATTGTATACCAGCAGATAAATCTCATGCAGGCCAACATAAAAGTGTATGTAAACTTATGTAATTTACGGCTTCCTTACCAAAATACTTCAATTTCATTTCCTCTAATAGCAGTATTTTTAATTGTTTTCAAATTACTTGACTTACTAAAACCGAATGAGAAGCTCACATCTCAGTGCGTTTTACTATAGATTTGAATTGCGAACAAGCGCTCATATAGAAAAAGGTAATCATTCGAAAATATTTGAATATTAAACTAAAATACAAACATTGCTTCTAAAGATATTTCCGTACCAGAATAAAAAGAAAAAACGTCGAGATACGTCAAAAGATTTGTCAAGGGGGACAACTTCCTAACCAAAAACTACTTCGCCCCGCCCCCCATCCTCTGCCCCCCAGGGTCATCCCATTAAAAATTTTAAAGACAAGGGATATCGAGTAATAGCTTGTTTGAAAGGTCTTCCAAAGTCCTTTATTTTGACGTTTGATTTTTTAAAATCGGTTGACTCATTTTCAAGAATATTTGAAAAATCTTTATTTATCTTAATTTGTTCAGATAGAAAACAAAATGTTGCCCGTTGTTGATCAAACAGTGATGTAGGCGATTTTCAAATTCCTGACGGACATTTTCAAAAACATGTTGTGGAATATCATGGCAGCTTTCGATGATACGTTGACGAAGTTCTCCCAAACTTTCAGATTGGGGATGAGACAATATATTCCAAATGGCCCCATAGAAAAAAAAGTCTAATGGATTCAAATCAGGAGATCTAGGAGGTCATTCTATGCGAAGTTATCTTCTCCAGTTGTCTGGCGTTAAACGTGAAGGCAGTTTACCGAGCACATTGATTTTGGGCAGCATAATTTAGAATCATTTCCACTCTTTCGGCTTGTCTGTAAATCATTTTGGAAGTAAAATCTGAATCAATAAATTAATTTTCACTATCCCAAGATTGTCACAAAGGTAACTGACAGCAAATTAAATCCTTTATTTCCCTCAGCAACAAATAACTGAACAGTTAGAACAATAAAAACAGTTGGCACAGGATATCTGTGTTATGGGAACAATATGGACAAAATTCGAGTTGTTATTTGGTTGTTGCCACGTCCAATCTTCCGAATTGCTGTTTATGTTGGTAGTTTCCGTTTTAAATTATAAACGAATTGTAGATTTATCAAATCTTAACCGGCAAATGTGTGTTTTTCTTTCCTATCTGAACAAATTAAGATAAATAAAGATTTTTCTAATTTTCTCGAAAACGAATCGACTGATTTTAAAAAATCAAACGTCAAAATAATGGACGTTGAAATACCTTTCAAACAAGATATTACTCGATACCCTTAGCTTGTCATATAAAATTTTTAAGAGAATGGCCCTGGGGGGGGGGTCGAGGGTGAAAGGGGGTGAAGTAGTTTTTGTTTAAAAAGACAAATCTTTTGACATGTCTGGGCGTTTTTTCTTTCAATCAGTGGTTTTTGATAAATCCGTGTTGGGAAGTTGTAAAATGAACACCCTGTATGTTCTAAAAATTTCATAGATGTCGTCAACTTGAAATTTGAGCATTTTTCTAGGCCGAAAGCCACATTTATAAACATTGATCCTTTGAAATCATGGCATAGTTGATGAAAGCAACTCAGCTAAAGTATTCTCAAAACAGCGGCATTTCCAGTTGTACTTGAAGCAAGTATCCTCGCTATTTTAAATGGGCCATCCTATATGTTATTCACTTATCTGTTCTACGCACCATTCTACACATTTTTAGATGTTTTTCCTTTATTGAAGAGGGCCAGCTTTTATGGAATAATTCATTTAGAGAGATAGAGAGAGAGAGAACCTTCCCTTTGTGGAGTGTTTATGTTGCTTTAATAATCCTAATGAAAAATGTCCTTTGTTATGATTTTATCACATTAACCACAAAAATAATGCTAACTTTGACAAGGGCATAACCTCAACAATTTTTGATCCCCGAAATAATTGCCATACTCTCTCTTCGCGCTTTCTCATCATCTTTCTTTACCGTGATAGGTTTCAGCCTACCCCAGATCGAGTTTTTTAGCTGGCAAATAAAAAAGCTGATGTTAATTGTTGCTTGTGCACTTCAAAATATACTAAGTGACATATAAATCCGAACACCCAGTTTAAATGGTTTTATTTTAATAAAATTTTGTATAAGTACTTAATGAAGCATAATAAGTAAATGATAAAAATTTCAAAATGATTGCACTGCTTTAAAGCCCTTTGACCTTTAATACTGTGTGGATGCACCCTGATATGCTACGCATTCTCCAACGCGCCTAGGCATGCTTCTGATCAGGTGGTCAATGTCCTCCTGTGGTATCTCATTCCAGGCAACCACCAACTCCTCTCGAAGTGCTTCTAGAGTCTGAGGAGGACGTTGCAAATTGAGCAATCTCCTACTCATCATATCCCACACGTGCTCAATTGGGGATAAGTCGGGAGATCTTGGTGGCCATGGTAACAATGTGACATCATTATGTTGAAAGAAGTCTGTTGTGACTCTTGCAACATGTGGTCGGGCATTATCTTGTTGGAAAGTTGGATCTGCCAGGGTGTCAAGATAGGGTAAAAGATGGGGTTCTAGAACTTCGCTGCGCGTTCATGTTACCTCTGATGAAGACTAAAGGTGACCTGGAACCATAAGCTATAGCACCCCAAACCATAACTCCAACAGTGTGATGAACATGTCTTTCAACAAAAAACTGTGGATTCCTCCTTTCACCACGTCGCCTTCTAACCCTGGCACGACCATCGTGCATGCCTAAACAAAATCGAGACTCGTCACTAAAGACAATACTGTTCCATTCCTGATCCCAGAGTGACCGTTGTCTGCACCACTCAAGGTGATTACGTCGGTGTTCTCGAGTTAAAGGGAGGACCCAGTGTGGCCGGTATGAAAACAAGCCAAAACTTCTCATTCTTCGGTAAACGCTTCGCATGCCAATAGGTCTTCCGTGTTCTGCAAACCATTCATTTGCAATGGACCTAGTAGTGGAGAAACGGTCCCTTAAGGCCAATAATCTTAGGCGGCGATCTTCACGGTCTGTTGTTCTACGGCGGCGTCCAGTGCCCCTTGCTCTTTGCGTACGGCCTTCTCGAAGCCATGCCTGACAACACCTAACCACAGTGTCTACACTTCTTTGCACTCTAACTGCAATTGCCCGAAAAGAAAGTCCAGCTTCCCGAAGTCCCACTATACGGCCCCTATCAAACTCACTAAGTTGACGAAATCGTACAGGTCTCCGTACTCTAGGCATCGTAACCGATCGTAAAGGATGTCAAGAACCAAAATCCGCCAACGTTGATTCTTTACTGCGGCTGAAATATTCATTTTTAGAGCGTTAGTGAATTAAAAAAAAGCAGTATAAAAACCGGAATGTCCAACTGATAAGACTGAAAATTTTTTCACTTGTTATTTACAGTAAGATAAATACATTCACCAACTTTTATTAAAATAAAACCATTTAAACTGGGTGTTCGGATTTATATGTCACTTAGTATAGTTTCAGTTCCTTTCTTGTAGCAGCTGCAGTACCATGCGTCGGTGTCTACTCAAAATTTGGTTTTGATGTTGTCCTATTTGGCTCTTTTTTAACGGTATTATCTTCTCTACAGGAATACGTCTACCAAAACTTCAAAGACCGACAGCAACTCCTTCACATGCACAAAAAAGCGAAAAAAGAGGGTCTTGATCTGGCCAAGTACAACATGCTGAAAGAAGAAGCCGCAAGGATCGAATACCTCCTGAAAAAGATACGAAACCCCTTGAAACTGAGGCCTGCCCCTAAGGTCACAACAACTGCCACTCCCTTGATCTTAGAAGCGATACCTATAACAACCAACGGCACTGGAACCACAAAAATACTGACAATGTCAAAGGAGGCAGAGGCTGAAAAAGGTGATAAAACTGATAAGCAATCGGACAAATGATAAAAGAATACTGATAGGGTTTGAATTTTATTTATTGATTTAGAAGCGACCATTGATACATATAATAATGGTGTGAAGCTCAAATCTAGTACGTAAGGATTGAATCGCGTTGATGTGTGATACGTTAGGTATTTCCTAAGTATTAGGATTCACAAATTATACTAGATCACGACACAAAGGCACTGACAGGCAATGAATACAAATAAAAAGTTAGTTCTTAAAATAAAAATAAAATCAGAGATTCGAATGTTTTTTAAGAACTTATTATTGATATTCGTAGCAACAAAGGCTTAAAGTTGACATAACGTCCGAATATACCATGAGTTTCTCTTTTTTAATACAAGCATGAAAGGAATACGTTATACGAATTATAAACTTGAATTTTATCGGAGAAAAACAGTTTAGTTTCTCGGAAAATAATATTTCATGATATATTAACATGAGAATTTTATCTTCTTAATAAACGTATAGTTTTTATGAATTTGTTAATCGATCGCGGCTATAAAATGGAATGTTGCAGCACAGGATATGTTTTGTTTATTTATTGTTTTTTTTAAACAGTTTTTATAAGCAACTCTACCAATTTTAAAAAAATATACAAATTATTTTTTTAAATTGTAATTACGTGACTATAGGTCAGACAGATCTCTATATGATAAGCTTTTCATCATTTCCGATAGTTTTTGTGATATCGTTCCTACAAAAAAATATCATCATCGTCATTCTGAAGAGCTGTTTCAAACTGTTCATTAGTAACAAGACGAGAAAATTTTCGACAGCTCGTACAGTTTGATAGGAGACGAATAGTGGTTTTGTGTGAGGCTGGCTGGTGTTTTAGAGAAATAGCCTTCAGGGTGCACAGAAGTCTAAATACGGTGGTGGTTTGTTGAGAGGCATGGAACGGCCCCACTCCATTTATTAAATTCATTATTGCTAGGTGTAGTTTTTTCTGTCAGAATATTTCTTTCTTCAATATATGTTTTAAACAGCTTAGAGTTTAGATGTATGGTATTCCTACCCGTGTAAAAGCAGACGACTCCAACCACTGATGGAGACTCCATTTCTTCTTGCCTTTCTTAGTTGTACCAAAATAAGTACCTACTCATTGCCTGCTTTGCAATTTTTATCCATGTTTCAGCTAGACGACAAACTTTTCTGTTTGATAGATAGTTTTGATAGATTCTTTTTAAAACTAGTGTTAAACTTAAATTCGCTGGAAAGAGTGATTTTTTAAGGGAGAATGGCCTAGTAGATTGATTTTAGAAAACAATTACTTCAAATTTCACTACCTATGTTCAACCAGCAAAGTATAATATATATTTTTCAACTTGTGGACTTGCTTAGGAAGTATCCTCAACTTACAGGGATTACAAAAAGAAAACGAAAGTGAGAGTAGTTCATATATTTATCATTTTTGTAGGTGATTTTACATGTTTCACGCCTACTTTCTCTAGAAACTATAGTCTATTTTTTCTTGTTATATGGTTACTAAATTTTAATGTTCCTAAGACAGAATAACTTGTATAAAGTTGCTGTTATATCTGCTGAGGTACGTTGAATTTTTTTAAGATTTTTAAGGATATTATACAAAGTGTCTACTAACCTTGGCACAAAAATTCTAGGATCATTTTTTAGACTCGTTCAAACAGATTCTGAACTCAACTTTTGCTTTTATCTAACAAGAAATGTTATTTTCGGAAATTTTGTAATCTTTGAAACAAAGCAATTTTCCAGAAAATCGTCAAATGAGAAATAAATGGAACAGTCTAAAGAAGCGCTCCTTGAATTTTTGCATCATGTTTTGGAAACGCCCTGTACATACTCATAGTTCCCGTTCTACTTCCACTTCAGCCTAAGTGACACATTTGCTTAAAGCTTTTCCAAACCTATTCCAGATCGATAATTCTACTTATAACTCTAGCGGTATGCAAAGTAAATTTAAAATCCGTCCTATTGCTTCTCTAAACGAATTTTAAAAGTGCGTTCTTGTCGGAACAGGAAATATACTGGGATGGGTACAAACCTGAAGTGTTATTTCAATGAATGAAATGATTCTTTTTTATAGCTAAATACCGATTTCATTCTTATCACCTCAAGTTCCAATGATATTGAGCTTGTTTCATATTATACAAGGTATTCAAAAGTGATGACCTTGGAGCATGACCTTCGCCATTTCTTCATTAAAGATCCTCTTGGAAAGTTTATATAGAATAGAAATTTTCCGACCTTTCTCACTTGTTGACCAAAACTTACAGTTTCATTTTGAATGTTTCAGTTCTTCAAATGACCTTGAATATCGTGCTCAAGGTCGTTTCCGAACGAAATGTGTTTTGCATTTTTCATTGGTGCTGAGGTCAAACAAAAACTCCTTAGTCGACATCTAAATGACCTTCAAGTTCCTTTTCAAAGGTCGCTGCTAAATTGACTTGCGACTTTTGTCTTGACCACTTATTCGCTTGACAGGATTTTCTAAAATAGGAATCCAGAGGTCATTTGTACTGAGGCGTGTCTGACCACCAAATTTCTGTGCTGTGTAAACTGCTTGTCATATAATGTGAAACCAGCTCAGCTATTTTCAAGGTCAGGGTCATACCCGAACATGAAATTTTCCGTGTTTTCTACCTGTAGAATGAAATTAGAGTTTTTTAAATTTCACACTTGCTTTCCAAATGACCTTGAATATCATTCCTAAGGTCATTTTCGAACAAAAAATGTTTCTTGCACGTTCAGTAATTGTTGCTCGGGTCAAACAGATACGGTTTCATCTAAAATTTCCTGGTTGACTTCTAAATGACCTTCAAGGCCCTTTTCAAGTGTCGCTACTAAATTGACCTCTCAAAAACTTGCAACTTTTGTCTTGATCACTTATTCGCTTTCTAAAATAGGAATCCAGGGGTCATTTGTAATGAGATGTGTCTGACCACCAAATTTCTGTACTCTGTAAACTGCTTGTCATATAATGTGAAACCAGCTCAGTCATGTCATTTATCCTGTTCACAAGTTTTGACTCAGTCGATTTTTTGTGACAACACAATATTGAGTATCCATAGACATAGGGCGATCAGTTTCGTTTGAAATTACTTTTATTGTATTATACAATTATATTACAAAATATCTGAAATAAATATGTGATCCTTTCTTATTACCACATGAAGTAAAAGTTGAACTCTTGGTCGTATACATAAACATTGAAAATCCATGAATTCCCTAATTGTGTGTACAGCAATAAGTGTGAATCAAACTAATTTCTCCTTGTACGATATTTTTCGAGTACAATAACAGTTAGTGATGCTGCATTTATGTTTATCTATCCTCCAGGTGACAGTTAATTTATTTTTCTTTCCTTGATTTCTATACAGTCAATTTCAAATGAAACTGTTCCATTCGGTTACCTACCTTGATGCATCTGTTATGTAAGAAGGACTATAATATTTCCTCTTGAATCATCTTAGTAAATGAACTATTTATCCAATGCTTGACGCTGTAGACTACGAGAATCCGATCGAGTAACTCCGAAGCTTTAAAATTGAGCACTCCGCACCTGTATAAAAATAAGCACATTTTTGCTGTGATTTTATTGTGACATAAGGAACAATCATTGCATGTTTTCTTCCCCATATGAGCTTTAATGTAAGGGTACATACTCTGATACTTATCAGAAAATGTAAATAGAAATTGTAATCCGACATTCTTAGCAAGTTCGTTCAGATGTAATGTTTATTCGCTGTTGAAATATTAAACATTATGATAAGTAGATAATCAAAAATACTGTCCTACAAACCAAGTTCTGAAATTCTCTAGATCCAAATTGCATCAAAATTCGAATTAGTCATGGTTTTTTGATAATAGTTCAATTTTGACTTTTTTACGTAAACACATTTTCCATTAAAAGTATATGTTCTTATATAAACTTTTTTAGCTTGAATTTTTGTCATATATCCCTGCACTATAGGTCTTTTTACTTCATAACACATTTTTATATATCTTAAGGAGTCTTCTTGAATTGCACTTTGGCGAATAAACAATACAACTAAAGTTTGTTTCTGATTAAATGCGACAGCGGTTTTCTAGTGCCAACACTTTTTTACAAGATAGTGCTACTTTAACTCTCTTAAAATAAGCGTACTTCCAAATGTAGGTTCTAAGATACGTAATAGTAATAAAACGTTTTTTTAATTGCTTTCATTGTATTCTGCAAAAATTGTTCGTTTTTTCTCATTTTTGCTTTTGTGTGTATAATATTTTCTCCAGTGATACGTAACGCGTGCTTCAAAATATTTGGTAAAGTTTTCACCACATTCTGGTGGATTTTGTTGGTTAATCAGAAAAACGCAAAGAGCGGGATATATAAATCGTAGGAAAACTTGTATAGCATAAATTCGAGAGTTACGCTGATAATCTATCTAATCTTGAAGCACTTGTCCATGTTTATATCCTGTTATTTCATTATCCAAAATTATGAAATTTATATTTGTTAATATATTTTTTAATGTCAGTCATTCAAATATGCTGATAAGAGAAATATTTTCTATTTTTAAAGGTTGTTTGTATGCTATTCTGAACGGTATGTTTTTTATAATCTCAAAGCAAGAATTATGTAGAACAACTTTAGTAATCCCAAGAAACTTTTACAAGTATAAACTTGAGGGATAATTGTATTGGGGTAATAAGCTGAATCTTTGTTTAGCTGCTCTATGCTACTGTTTTTCTTATGTACTTTATGGTTTCTTTTATGAAGCTGCGTTTGTATGTCTATCAGTCGGCTCGGAGCAGTAGCTGATATGTCTTTGTGTTTTTGTAACGATTTTATGAACAATGCACAAAATTGAAATTATTTATTATACATTGTTTGTAAATAGAACATATTCCTATATTGTAATATACATTTGTTGCCAAATGGAAATGTGGTTTTGTTTATTGTTCGATATTCCCCATATGCAAGCCAACCTTTAGACAAACATATCAGGATAACGCAGCAATGACTTGAATTTCCTGAAAATTTCATATTAATAGGACTCTTTTGAATAAATCTACCTCCCCGCGTTTCTTTGATCTCCTAATAACAAATCTCAACCAATGGTTTTTTGACGATCTCGCAAATGACTTTTCGGCAGATACAGGTTTTTGATCGAATCGAGCTTCTACGTCAGGATTACAGAAGCAGAACGAGGGACTTTTGTGCAGTAATTCTTATCGCGAGCATGATATCGGTCTTATACCTCCTCTGCTCCTATCATTTCTCTAATCCTGGTAGCAAATCACGGTTTTTGACGATAATGCCCAGGAGTTTTGGTCAGATGCAAGCTTTTCACTAAATACAGATTCCGTACCAGGACAACAGAAGCAGCAAGTGGTATTTTGCAGTAATGTCTAATGTCACGTCAGTTTCGTATCGGGGACCATGTTATCAGTCCCATATCTCCTCGCATTTCTGTGATCCTGATAGCAAATCTCAGCCCACGGGTTTTGACGATTCTGCACAGACGTTTTGGACAACTGCAAGGTTTTCATCAAATAAAGATTCTGTACCAGGATATTAGAAGCAGCGAGAGGTGTTTATGCAGCAATTTTTAATTACGCGCCAATTCTATATCAGGATATCGATTTCGTACCTCCTCGCGTTTCTGTGACCCTGATAGCAAATTTGAACCTCCAGTTTTAGCTGATTTCAAAAGGATGATTTGAACAGATGTTCGATTTTTGACTCCGTTAAGATTCTGTACCAGGATAACAGAAGCGGCAAGTGGTATTTTGCAGTAATGTCTAATGTCACGTCAGTTTCGTATCGGGGACCATGTTATCAGTCCCATATCTCCTCGCATTTCTGTGATCCTGATAGCAAATCTCAGCCCACGGGTTTTGACGATTCTGCACAGACGTTTTGGACAAATGCAAGGTTTTCATCAAATAAAGATTCTGTGCCAGGATAACAGAAGCAGCGAGAGGTGTTTGTGCAGCAATTTTGAATTACGCGCCAATTCTATATAAGGATGTCGATTCATACCTCCTCGCGTTTCTGTGACCCTGATAGCAAATTTGAACCTCCAGTTTTAGCGGATTTCAAAAGGATGATTTGAACAGATTATACTGGTTTTGACGATCCCGCACAGACGTTTTGGACGAATGCAAGGTTTTCATCAAATAAAGATTCTGGACCAGGATAACAGAAGCGGCGAGAGGTGTTTATGCAGCAACATTGAATTACGTAATTTTTAATGTCACGTCAGTTTCGTATCGGGGAGCATGTTATCAGTCCCATACCTCCTCGCGTTTCTGTGATCCGGATAGCAAATTTCAACCTCCATTTTTAGCGGATTTCGAACGGATGATTTGAACAGATGTTCGATTTTTGACTCCGTCAGGATTCTGTACCAGAATAACAGAAGCGGCGAGAGGTTTTTATGCAGCAACATTGAATTACGTAATTTTTAATGTCACGTCAGTTTCGTATCGGGGAGCATGTTATCAGTCCCATATCTCCTCGCGTTACTGTGATCCGGATAGCAAATCTCAGCCCACGGGTATTGACGATCCTGCACAGACATTTTGGAGGAATGCAAGATTTTCATCAAATAAAGATTCTGTACCAGGATAACAGAAGCAGCGAGAGGTGTTTATTCAGCAATTTTGAATTACGTGCCAATTCTACATAAGGATGTCGATTTCATACCTCCTCGCTTTTCTGTGACCCTGATAGCAAATTTCAACCTCCAGTTTTAGCGGATTTCAAAAGGATGATTTGAAAAGGTTATACGATCTTGACTCCGTGAAGATTCTGTGCCAGGATAACAGAAGCGGCGAGAGGTTTTTATGCAGCAATTTTTAATTACGTAATTTTTAATGTCACGTCAGTTTCGTATCGGGGACCATGTTATCAGTCCCATATCTCCTCGCATTTCTGTGATCCTGATAGCAAATCTCAGCCCACGGGTTTTGACGATTCTGCACAGATGTTTTGGACAAATGCAAGGTTTTCATCAAATAAAGATTCTGTGCCAGGATAACAGAAGCAGCGAGAGGTGTTTGTGCAGCAATTTTGAATTACGTAATTATTAATGTCACGTCAGTTTCGTATCGGGGACCATGTTATCAGTCCCATATCTCCTCGCATTTCTGTGATCCTGATAGCAAATCTCAGCCCACGGGTTTTGACGATTCTGCACAGACGTTTTGAACAAATGCAAGGTTTTCATCAAATAAAGATTCTGTGCCAGGATAACAGAAGCAACGAGAGGTGTTTGTGCAGCAATTTTGAATTACGCGCCAATTCTATATAAGGATCTCGATTTCATACCTCCTCGCGTTTCTGTGACCCTGATAGCAAATTTGAACCTCCAGTTTTAGCGGATTTCAAAAGGATGATTTGAACAGATGTTCGATTTTTGACTCCGTCAAGATTCTGTACCAGGATAACAGAAGCGGCGAGAAGTTTCTATGCAGCAATTTTGAACTACGTAATGTTTAATGTCACGTCAGTTTCGTATCGGGGACCATGTTATCAGTCCCATATCTCCTCGCATTTCTGTGATCCTGATAGCAAATCTCAGCCCACGGGTTTTGACGATTCTGCACAGACGTTTTGGACAAATGCAAGGTTTTCATCAAATAAAGATTCTGTACCAGGATAACAGAAGCAGCGAGAGGTGTTTGTGCGGCAATTTTGAATTACGCGCCAATTCTATATAAGGATGTCGATTTCATACCTCCTCGCGTTTCTATGACCCTGGTAGCAAATTTCAAGCTCCAGTTTTAGCGGGTTTCAAAAGGATGATGTGAACAGATTATACGATTTTGACTCCGTGAAGATTCTGGACCAGGATAACAGAAGCGGCGAGAGGTGTTTATGCAGTAACATTGAATTACGTAATTTTTAATGTCACGTCAGTTTCGTATCGGGGAGCATGTTATCAGTCCCATATCTCCTCGCATTTCTGTGATCCTGATTGCAAATCTCAGCCCACGGGTTTTGACGATTCTGCACAGACGTTTTGGACAAATGCTAGGTTTTCATCAAATAAAGATTCTGTACCAGGATAACAGAAGCAGCGAGAGGTGTTTGTGCGGCAATTTTGAATTACGCGCCAATTCTATATAAGGATGTCGATTTCATACCTCCTCGCGTTTCTATGACCCTGATAGCAAATTTAAACCTCCAGTTTTAGCGGATTTCAAAAGGATGATGTGTACAGATTATACGATTTTGAGCAAACCTCACCTCCAGTTTTAGCGGCTTTCAGACGGATGATTTGAACAGATGTTCGATTTTTGACTCCGTCAAGATTCTGTACCAGGATAACAGAAGCGGCGAGAGGTTTTTATGCAGCAACTTTGAATTACGTAATTTTTAATGTCACGTCAGTTTCGTATCGGGGAGCATGTTATCAGTCCCATATCTCCTCGCATTTCTGTGATCCTGATTGCAAATCTCAGCCCACGGGTTTTGACGATTCTGCACAGACGTTTTGGACAATTGCAAGGTTTTCATCAAATAAAGATTCTGTGCCAGGGTAACAGAAGCAGCGAGAGGTGTTTGTGCAGCAATTTTGAATTACGCGCCAATTCTATATAAGGATGTCGATTTCATACCTCCTCGCGTTTCTGTGACCCTGATAGCAAACCTCAACCTCCAGTTTTAGCGGATTACAAAAGGATGATTTGAACAGATTATACGATTTTGACTCCGTGAAGATTCTGGACCAGGATAACAGAAGCGGCGAGAGGTGTTTATGAAGTAACATTGAAATACGTAATTTTTAATGTGACGTCAGTTTCGTATCGGGGAGCATGTTATCAGTCCCATATCTCCTCGCATTTCTGTGATCCTGATTGCAAATCTCGGCCCACGGATTTTGACGATTCTGAACAGACGTTTTGGACAAATGCAAGGTTTTCATCAAATAAAGATTCTGTACCAGGATAACAGAAGCAGCGAGATGTGTTTGTGCAGCAATTTTGATATACGCGCCAATTCTATATAAGGATGTTGATTTCATACCTCCTCGCGTTTCTGTGACCCTGATGGCAAATTTCAACCTCCAGTTTTAGCGGATTTCAAACGGATGATTTCAACAGATGTTCGATTTTTGACTCCGTCAAGATTCTGTACCAGGATAACAGAAGCGGCGAGAGGTGTTTATGCAGCAACTTTGAATTACGTAATTTTTAATGTCACGTCAGTTTCGTATCGGGGAGCATGTTATTAGTCCCATATCTCCTTGCGTTTCTGTGATCCGGATAGCAAATCTCAGCCCACGGGTTTTAACGATCCTGCACAGACGTTTCGGACAAATGCAAGGTTTTCATCAAATAAAGATTCTGTACCAGGATAACAGAAGCAGCGAGAGGTGTTTGTGCAGCAATTTTGAATTACGCGCCAATTCTATATAAGGATGTCGATTTCATACCTCCTCGCGTTTCTGTGACCCTGATAGCAAATTTGAACCTCCAGTTTTAGCGGATTTCAAAAGGATGGTTTGAACAGATGTTCGATTTTTTGACTCCGTCAAGATTCTGTACCAGGATAACAGAAGCGGCGAGAAGATTTTATGCAGCGAATTTGAATTACGTAATTTTTAATGTCACGTCAGTTTCGTATCGGGGAGCATGTTATCAGTCCCATATCTCCTCGCATTTCTGTGATCCTGATTGCAAATCTCAGACCACGGGTTTTGACGATTCTGCACAGACGTTTTGGACAAATGCAAGGTTTTCATCAAATAAAGATTCTGTGCCAGGATAACAGAAGCAGCGAGAGGTGTTTGTGCAGCAATTTTGAATTACGTAATTTTTAATGTCACGTCAGTTTCGTATCGGGGAGCATGTTATCAGTCCCATATCTCCTCGCATTTCTGTGATCCTGATTGCAAATCTCAGACCACGGGTTTTGACGATTCTGCACAGACGTTTTGGACAAATGCAAGGTTTTCATCAAATAAAGATTCTGTGCCAGGATAACAGAAGCAGCGAGAGGTGTTTGTGCAGCAATTTTGAATTACGCGCCAATTCTATATAAGGATGTCGATTTCATACCTCCTCGCGTTTCTGTGACCCTGATAGCAAATTTGAACCTCCAGTTTTAGCGGATTTCAAAAGGATGATTTGAACAGATGTTCGATTTTTGACTCCGTCAAGATTCTGTACCAGGATAACAGAAGCGGCGAGAGGTTTCTATGCAGCAATTTTGAACTACGTAATTTTTAATGTCACGTCAGTTTCGTATCGGGGACCATGTTATCAGTCCCATATCTCCTCGCATTTCTGTGATCCTGATAGCAAATCTCAGCCCACGGGTTTTGACGATTCTGCACAGACGTTTTGAACAAATGCAAGGTTTTCATCAAATAAAGATTCTGTGCCAGGATAACAGAAGCAACGAGAGGTGTTTGTGCAGCAATTTTGAATTACGCGCCAATTCTATATAAGGATCTCGATTTCATACCTCCTCGCGTTTCTGTGACCCTGATAGCAAATTTCAACCTCCAGTTTTAGCGGATTTCAAAAGGATGATTTGAACAGATGTTCGATTTTTGACTCCGTTAAGATTCTGTACCAGGATAACAGAAGCGGCGAGAGGTTTTTATGCAGCAATTATGAACTACGTAATTTTCAATGTCACGTCAGTTTCGTATCGGGGAGCATGTTATCAGTCCCATATCTCCTCGCATTTCTTTAATCCTGATAGCAAATCCCAGCCCACGGGTATTGACGATCCTGCACATACGTTTTGGACAAATGCAAGGTTTTCATCAAATAAAGATTCTGTACCAGGATATCAGAAGCGACGAGAGGTATTTATGCAGCAATTTTGAATTACGTGCCAATTCTATATAAGGATACCGCTTTCATACCTCCTCGCGTTTCTGTGACCCTGATAGCAAATCTCAACCTTCACATTTGGCGGATTTCAAAAGGATGATTTGAACAGGTTTTACGATTTTGACTCCGTGAAGATTCTGGACCAGGATAACAGAAGCGGCGAGAGGTGTTTATGCAGCAACTTTGAATTACGTAATTTTTATTGCCACGTCAGTTTCGTATTGGGGGCCATGTTATCAGTCCCATATCTCCCCGGATTTATGTGATCCTGATAGCAAATCTCAGCCCACGGGTTTTGACGATTCTGCACAGACGTTTTGGACAAATGCAAGGTTTTCATCCAATAAAGATTCTGTACCAGGATAACAGAAGCAGCGAAAGGTGTTTATGCAGCAATTTCAAATTACGCGCCAATTCTATATAAGGATGTCGATTTCTTACCTCCTCGCGTTTCTGTGACCCTGATAGCAAATTTCAACCTCCAGTTTTAGCGGATTTCAAACGGATGATTTGAACAGATGTTCGATTTTTACTCCGTCAAGATTCTGCACCAGGATAACAGAAGCGGCGAGAGGTTTTTATGCAGCAATTTTGAATTACGTGATTTTTAATGTCACGTCAGTTTCGTATCGGGGAGCATGTTATCAGTCCCATATCTCCTCGCGTTTCTGTGATCCTGATAGCAAATCTCAGCCCACGGGTTTTGACGATCCTGCACAGACGTTTTGGAGGAATGCAAGGTTTTCATCAAATAAAGATTCTGGACCAGGATAACAGAAGCGGCGAGAGGTGCTTATGCAGCAACTTTGAATTTCGTAATTTTTAATGTCGCGTCAGTTTCGTATCAGGGACCATGTTATCAGTCCCATGTCTCCTCGCATTTCTGTGATCCTGATAGCAAATCTCAGCTCACGGGTTGTGACGATTCTGCACAGACGTTTCGAATAAATGCAAGGTTTTCATCAAATAAAGATTCTGTACCAGGATAACAGAAGCAGCCAGAGGTGTTTGTGCAGCAATTTTGAATTACGCGCCAATTCTATATAAGGATGTCGATTTCATACCTCCTCGCGTTTCTGTGACCCTGATAGCAAACCTCAACCTCCAGTTGTAGCTGATTTCAAAAGGATGATTTGCACAGATGTTCGATTTTTTGACTCCGTTAAGATTCTGTACCAGGATAACAGAAGCGGCGAGAGGTTTTTATGCGGCAATTTTGAATTACGTAATTTTTAATGTCACGTCAGTTTCGTATCGGGGAGCATGTTATCAGTCCCATATCTCCTCGCATTTCTGTGATCCTGATTGCAAATCTCAGACCACGGGTTTTGACGATTCTGCACAGACGTTTTGGACAAATGCAAGGTTTTCATCAAATAAAGATTCTGTGCCAGGGTAACAGAAGCAGCGAGAGGTGTTTGTGCAGCAATTTTGAATTACGCGCCAATTCTATATAAGGATGTCGATTTCATACCTCCTCGCGTTTCTGTGACCCTGATAGCAAACCTCAACCTCCAGTTGTAGCTGATTTCAAAAGGATGATTTGAACAGATGTTCGATTTTTTGACTCCGTTAAGATTCTGTACCAGGATAACAGAAGCGGCGAGAGGTTTTTATGCGGCAATTTTGAATTAGGTGATTTTTAATGTCACGTCAGTTTCGTATCGGGGAGCATGTTATCAGTCCCATATCTCCTCGCATTTCTGTGATCCTGATTGCAAATCTCAGCCCACGGGTTTTGACGATTCTGCACAGACGTTTTGGACAAATGCAAGGTTTTCATCAAATAAAGATTCTAGACCAGGATAACAGAAGCAGCGAGAGGTGTTTGTGCAGCAAGTTTGAATTACGCGCAAATTCTATATAAGGATATCGATTTCATACCTCCTCGCGTTTCTGTGACCCTGATAGCAAACCTCAACCTCCAGTTTTAGCGGATTTCAAAAGGATGATTTGAACAGATTATACGATTTTGACTCCGTGAAGATTCTGGACCAGGATAACAGAAGCGGCGAGAGGTGTTTATGCAGTAACATTGAATTACGTGATTTTTAATGTGACGTCAGTTTCGTATCGGGTACCATGTTATCAGTCCCATATCTCCTCGCATTTCTGTGATCCTAATAGCAAATCTCAGCCTACGGGTTTTGACGATTCTGCACAGATGTTTTGGACAAATGCAAGGTTTTCATCAAATAAAGATTCTGTACCAGGATATCAGAAGCAGCGAGTGGTGTTTATGCAGCAATTTTGTTCACGCGCAAATTCTATATAAGGATGTCGATTTCATACCTCCTCGCGTTTCTGTGACCCTGATAGCAAATTTCAACCTCCAGTTTTAGCGGATTTCAAACGGATGATTTGAACAGATGTTCGATTTTTGACTCCGTCAAGATTCTGTACCAGGATAACAGAAGCGGCGAGAGGTGTTTATGCAGCAACTTTGAATTACGTAATTTTTAATGTCACGTCAGTTTCGTATCGGGGAGCATGTTATTAGTCTCATATCTCCTTGCGTTTCTGTGATCCGGATAGCAAATCTCAGCCCACGGGTTTTAACGATTCTGCACAGACGTTTCGGACAAATGCAAGGTTTTCATCAAATAAAGATTCTGTACCAGGATAACAGAAGCAGCGAGAGGTGTCTATGCAGCAATTTTGAATTACGTCTATATAAGGATACCGATTATGAAATCCTCCTCGCGTTTCTGTGATCCTGGTAGTAACCCCAAGTCATAGTTTTTGACGATTTCACACAGGTTTGGTCAGATGCAAGCTTTTCGTTAATTAAAAACTGTACATAGATAAGCAGCTGGAGACATTTGCAATAGTTTAGAATTTGCCGCCAATTTTGTACCCGAAGCAAGATCCTGGTCCCATACCTCCTCACAACGATGTGACCCTAGTAGCAAATCTCAACGCATGGTTTTTGACGATTTTGCAGGGAAGGTTAGCAAAGATTAATCTTCAGGAGAGTGAAAATAAAACAAGGGCATAAAAAAGAATAAACAATATATTTATAACAATATACCTTTACAGAATCATTATAAAACTACATCAGTTCTGAACCAAACAGTTAAATGCAGATCAGTACGATGGTCAAAACCGGTTCCTAGCAGATTCCTGGGCGAACTTAACAGTTGATTTTAACTACACAGCCTGTGCAGAAACCGCTTTTGATCATGTTCACAGAAACACTCAATTTCACATACATTCACAAAGATTCGTGTGCTACAAATAAGAGAAATTATACACGAATATTTCCGGCCTATCACGGGCGCTGTATAAAGTATATAAAAAAGGGAGAGCAGCCAATACTATAACGGAACATTTTGGCTTCCGGATGAAAGTGTCTTTGGGCAAACGCACTGGGGAATTAATCTATTCGAAAAGGGCTGGGGCAGTGATTACATCATGCCTCCCATACCACCCATTCCCCCCATGCCGCCACCCATGCCTGCCGGGATTGGGGGCTCTTCCTTCGGGATTTCTGTGATGACTGCTTCAGCTGTCGTCAGCAGAGATGCTACGCCAGATGCGTCTACGATCGCTGTCCTCACCACCTATAAAGAAAAAATAGTATCAAGATCAAACATATATTGTGAAGTTCCGAATCTCACTTTTTTTACAATACCATTTATTAATCACATCGCATATACAGGGTGATTCACAAGTCGTGACCAAACATGAAACATAATACACTGGACCGCATTTTGAGGGGGTTTTCTACGTAACATTTTTTCCTCGAGTGCTTCATTAAAAAGATACGGGGTGTTGAAGTTTAAAAATAAAAAACAATTCTTTTTAATACCTTCAAAACCGTCAACTGCAATGAACTAAAATTTGATATGTGGGTTTACCGAAGTATTGTCCACATTCAAAAGTCTTTACTTAAAGTTAGCGTGCACCAGTGGCGGAGATACAGGGGATTAGTGACATTTTTTCAAATAATAGTACGACACTGTTATATTTTTCGAAACGCGCAATTTTAGAATTTCACTTCCAATTTGCTAGACATAATTACTCTTGTTTTTTCCTAGAGTGTACTGTTTTCGTAAAAATAAAAATAAAACAAATTAGATCTTTCATGAAGATCCGAGGTACAATTAGTTAGGAAAATAGAAGGCCTTCATATGGTTGTTATGGTTACTACTACCATAAATAAATAATAAATAACAATAAAAAGTTTCGTCGCACAAGCGTCGTTTGTTCAACGAAAATGCTCGAAATTTCCTAACTGATTTTTTGAAATATCGATCCTCGCTAGCCACTCCGCTATGAAAACAACCATGCATCAAATTTATATACCCAATTAAGCATATTTTCATCATAACACTTAAACCATAACTATTGATACGATTTTACGGCACCAGAGTCTGTACGCCAAATTTTCCAGAAATAAAACGTCAATGCAAAACCGGTAGGAAATTCTATAACTTATTTTTTTTTCATTTTCATAATATGATGGTACAAGCAGGAAAGATACGAGGTTACAAGCTGAGAATTCAAAAAACTTATCGAAATCTATGAATGAATGATTTCCCGTCCATTCGTCCTGTTAGAGTAAACACTTCAATGCCATACATCATTCACAACTATTCAGCCAACGAAGAAAAAGCTAGATACATAAATTGTAGAAAATTCTTTCACGTTTTTCATACGGATTTTTTTTACCGTAGCAAATCGAAGGAGCACGACGAAGACTACTGGGGTATCAAATTTTCTGCAATACCAGAACTTTGCAGACAACCCTCTTTTTGTGCAGCAAATGATGCAAATTTTGGTTATATGGTGAAATGTACGACAAGCTGTTTCTTCATCATGGGCTTGTCCAGTTGTGCTAATGAGAATAAGGCCATGGTCGAAATAACAACAGAGTGATATACATAAAATATAACCAAATTTCAATTCTATAATGCAAGGCAGTACTTCAGTACTTTAAGTTTTTAACTAAGGTTACTTTGGTTGAAACGGACACGTACCTTGGTAGGATCGATGATGCCCCTCTCGTACATATTGACATACTCTCCGTTGAGCGCGTCGTACCCGTAATCGCCATCCTGCTGCTCGACCTTGGCAACGACCGCAGCGCCATCTACGCCAGCATTGCGCGCAATCGTCATACACGGCACCTTCAACGACCTCTTGACGATCTCGATGCCGATGTGCTGGTCATTGTTGGCGGGCTTGATGGTGTCCAGGCTCTTGGAGCAGCGCAACAAAGCGGTGCCGCCGCCAGGCACGATGCCCTCTTCGACTGCTGCGCGGGTGGCGTTCAGAGCGTCGGTGACGCGGTCTTTCTTCTCGTTCACTTCCACTTCGCTGCTGCCGCCTACTTTCAGGACGGCCACGCCGGATGCCAGGCGAGCCAGACGTTCCTGGAAGGGAAGATTTGCGTTTCTAAATCACCTGGTAATGTAATACCGTACGCAGTAATAGAATGTCGAATGACAGATGAAATTTTACTCTGTAATACTGTGAAACATTATTTTTTGAACGCCTAAATTACGTAAATATATCCAGCAATTTCGAAGCACTTTTGATAACCAAATAAAGCAAACAAACATTGAGTCACGAGAATGACAAGTGACAACACCTTTATTCCCAAGGGGGAGGTAAACCACACTTTTGACGTTCCAAATGGATTACTATGTTCTATTTCCGAACGTATGAAATAGGTACGTCAAGCAATTACGAACGCAGCCCAGTATTTACTGATCATTCTGTCAGTGGCAGGAATTTATCAAGTTGCTTGACATTTTCATAAACTACCTGAAAATAAAGTTAATGCTTGACTTGATTTTATTACTGTTCTACTTGACTTGAAGTCGAGCATTTTCAAACTACTTGATGACACCTCACTTTTTGTTCTACTAAAAACCTTAAGCGATATTTATTTGTACAATCGATGAGCCGTATTTTGCATTTTAATTCAAATGATCCGGTAGAATATCGGAAATTGTCACTGCCATCTCAAATGATGCACGCAAACAAAAATCAGGGCCGGGGTAAGATCAGCGGCGGATCAAGGGAATTTGGGCCACGCAGCGCCATCTATCAAAAGTATATTTTCCTATAGCGCGGGAACATAACACAGATTTTCTATAATTATAAAAACAAATGAAAACTGGCTACAGATCTAATGCCAAAAAAATACAAATTGAAATTAAATGCCTTTATTTTTTACAATCAACTCTCCAATGCCCACAGCTTGATAAATATTTATTTGAAGGATTTATTGGTTATGAGATCAAATGAGGTTAACTAGATAAAATATAATGAACGATTTTTTATTTCCACATGAGTGGATATATGTATATACAAAATAACATGAGTATGGGAAATGAATAAAGGGTCCAAGTGGGATATAAATTACATAATGATCATCTTTAAACATACATATTTAAATTTTGGTATAAGTTCGAAAAATAAAACTTTACAGTCGGTTTTAGATTTTTGCTTCCGAGTTTATAAAAAAAAATATTACATAATGTAACATGGTTATTCTATTTTGATTCCAATTTTATTAAGGATTAAGTGTTTAGTTACAGCAAAAAATATCTCTGAAACTCAGTCGTTTAGTGCGTGGGGGGTCCTGAGATATCTAACTTGAAAAATACAACATTTAAAAATTTGATTTGAACTAAAATAAATTCAAAAAACGATTCGTAATATGGATAATTGGAAACCTACCTTTTCATTTCCATGGTAAGCAAAAATAGAAGCCAGTCTTAAGAAGGCAGAAAAAAATTAACAACTACAAACCACATTATTCACGTTTCTACCAGATAAAGAGGTTATATCAATGTTTTCTCTGCAAAGCGATATTTCCTTTCATCTCAGCGATGAGAAAGCTCGACGTCAATTCGAGGCGGAATTTTTACAAAATATATTGAAACTTCGTACCCTCTAGGGCACCTTAGGAATTGGGAAGGTTGTTAGGACAAACACACCAAAGAGCTAATAATGAATAGAAGATCTCACCTGCAATTTCTCCTTCTCGTACTCGCTCGTAGTGTTCTCGATCTGATCCCTGATGTGATCGGCGCGCCTGTCGATATCCTCCTTCTTGCCTTTGCCCTTCAGCATCAGCGTATCGTCCTTGGTGATGACAATCTCGCCTACTTGGCCCAAATCGGACGGTTTTACGTCCTCCAGCTTAACGATGTTCGCATCGTCGCCGAAAACAATGCCTCCGGTGGCGATCGCCATGTCAGACAATGTAGCCTTGCGGTTGTCGCCGAAACCAGGCGCTTTCACGGCGGCTACTTGTAACCCGATGCGGAGTCTGCAAAGATAGAATATAGATAAATATGCGTTAATGTCTGAAGAATAATATGATTCTTATTGACAACGCTAACTTAAAACTAAACTATACAGGATGTCCAAGATAAGGATCCTATGCATAGAGATCTCAAGTGCGAGATACAGCTTAGGTTAAATTAGGAAAAGTTGTTCTTTCCTCCACTTTTTTGTATGGTCCGAAAAAAAGTACACCCTGTATCTAATAGCAATTTTTTATCCGAATTCGACAATGTATCACGTTACATTTATTTTCTTGGTTTTCTTGTATAGAGTGAGGTCATGTGATAAAAGTACTTCTTAGCCCTAAGCAAATAGCCTAGCTCTTTCCCAGTAGCTGCCGTTATTGAAAAGATATGTTCGTATCAGATCAAGTCCTCAGAGATCAGGACTGCGACCAGCTGAAATGAATGGGCCTTTTTGTGGAATTTAAAAAGTGCTTCAGTGATATGAAACAAAGAAATGTAAGCACCATTATACACAGTCCATTGAGCACTCCAAAAATGGCTGCACCTGGTGTGCATCTGCATTTATATATGCCTCAAAATCAAGAACATTCCATCATAAAGAATGCTCCAAAAGTCAAGTAGAGGCAACCATAAACTCAAAAAGTTAAAAAATCAGAACATGCTGAATGCATATAACATTTTCACAAACATCATATAATCAGTAATAACATATAAAATAGTATAAAATTTGATAGTACTGAAACCTGATTTCAATTCCTAGTGTGAAAATACATATACCTAAATTAGTGTATAAGCAAATGTGACATAATCAATCACAAAACAGAAAATAAAACATGCATTCTAAACATACCTGTTCACAACCAAAGTTGTTAGAGCTTCACCATCAACATCCTCAGCAATGATGATGAGTGGCTTCCTCTGAGCATTGGCAAGTTCAAGAGCAGGTACAATACTTTGTACTGAGGAGATCTTCTTTTCACTGAACAGTACCAAAGCATCTTGGTATTCAACCTTAGCACCTGCAATAACAAAATCCTTGTAGAATAAGATATCTATTTATTTGCACATGCTCAAAAAATGTCCCAAGGGTTATGAAACAATTATTCATTTTAAAGAATCCCAAACTAAATTGAGAAATGACGTTAACTTGACAATGTACATGTACTTTCGATGAAATGGTATAAGTTTAGAAACTATGAAGTGTTGTGTAATTTTATCTAAAGTCAATTATCCAAATATATATGTTACCTTTGCTGGTGTTGACAAAATATGGTGAAATGTATCCTCTATCAAACTTCATTCCCTCAATGATCTCCAGCTCATCATTGAGTGTCTTGCCATCCTTGACAGTGATGACACCTTCCTTTCCAACTCTCTTCATGGCATCGGCAATCAGATTGCCAACCGAGCTGTCTCCATTGGCAGAAATGGTGGCCACTTGACAAATCTCCTCTGGTGTGGTGACAGGCTTGGAAAGGGTCTTCAGAGTTTCAGTGATCTTGTCCACTGCTAGCATGATACCTTTGCGGATTTCAACCGGGTTTGCACCCTTACCCAAATTGTCAAAACCTGTAATTCAAATGTTTTAAAAACAGTACTTAGTTATAGAAATTGACAAACATTGAAAAGGTGGTGCCTTGAGTGCCACATCAAGGATGGCCTAGCAATTACATAATAAGAAAGGGATTATAGAAGGTTGATTACTTTCAATTGGTATATTTTTTAATCATTACTTTACATTACATTTATTTCTAAAATAGCACCTATATATTGACACTGTGACAGGGCTTAACACACATGCATAAAGACATACTTTTTAAAATTTTTATTTTGGTCTCACCTTCTTTGGCAATTGAGCGTGCCAAAACTGTTGCTGTGGTGGTTCCATCTCCTGCCTCTTCATTTGTGTTGTTAGCCACATCCTGGACCAACTTAGCACCAATGTTTTGGAACTTGTCTTTCAATTCCACACCTTTTGCTACTGTTACACCATCTTTTGTAATTTTGGGGGAGCCCCATGATTGCTCAATAATGACATTACGTCCCTAAAATATAGTAATTATTTTGATAAAAATTCTTCAATCACATCAGTTTAAATTTCTTGTGTAAGAGTAATTAAATAATTAAGTACCTCTAAATCAGTCTTAAATATTAATTGTATGCTTACAATCTCTATTCACACAGCTATCACCAACCTGTTAGTGATTGTGTCCAGTGTGCTGCCACACAAATTCTTTTGATTTGGCTGACATGGCCAGTACCAGACACTGTCACCAACAAGTCACTGACCACTGTACAAACAAATTTAAAGCTAAATATTAAAAAATGTTCAGAGAGAGTAAACAAAAATCAGGAAAAGTACTTCTTTTTCCTAAACCAATAGGCCAGGAGACCATTGCAACCACACATATTTTTGAATTACAGACATTGTTTGAGAATCATATGCTCTGTTTTTTCAGTATTTTGATATGTTAAAATATGAGTAAGAAATTTATATAGAGATCAAAGATTTGATATGAGACAGGTGGGTAAAGATTAGTCTTTGATTTAAGCAATTTTATTACATTTATATTCAGATCAAGTATCTATATTTACATGAAAAGTATGATTTATGACTTTATGAGAACTGGAATTATTAAGAAATCTGTAAGTTGTCCCCTAGCTGATTTGCTTTAAAGGTCCTAGGTGGGAGCTAACATAATTTAGTCTACTATTGAAAAAGAATTGTTGAAAATGACCTTTTTCTGTAACCTGAATACCCTGTGAACTGTATCTTAAAAATAATATTTTATTCACATTGTGAACCTTCATAATCAAAAGCTGAAAACAATGTCAGTGGCTTAAACTGCCATTGTTTTAAACGATTTTATATATATATATATTTATAAATAATACTCCCAGTGATACTTTATACATATCTAGAAATACTGTTACTGCTAAAATATCTCATAATTTAAACAACAGACTTTTTAAAACAACCTAGATACAATAGACCAATGCAATAGTGCACACAGTAACTTTAATAGATTGGACATAGTTGATAGTTTATCTGAAAAATTATCACAGCTAACCTTTGGCCCCATTGTAACAGCTACAGCATCTGCTAATATGTCCACTCCCTGGAGCATAAGAGCCCTAACTTCAGACCCGAATCTGACATCTTTGGCATACCAACGTTGCACCTGGTATGTTTGCTGCAACTTACGCAGGGCAAGGGTTCTCACAGTGCTTGGTACCCTGTACATCTGAAATACAATTTTTGTGAATAAGCTTGCGGGAAATGTGTAAAAAAACTGAGTACCGTTGAACAAGAATATTTTAAACTCCAATTGACGTTTCGTAAGAAGTTGATTAATGCAAGGATGATTCGATTCTTTCGGTTTCTAGAGCCGTGGGTGAACCTAACCTCAAACTTGATTGGAGATGAGAAAAAACGAGAATGAGAGAAGAGCAGGATTATCGATTTTCTCCTAGATGTTGTAGTTTGGAGAAGATACTATACTACTTATAATGTAGGGCTCAAGAGGTGGTTTTGTTAAAGAGTTAGGAAGCACATGGTGGTGACTTGCGATCGACCAGTCAGAAAAAATTAGGAACAGAAATAATCATCTCTCAGTCTCATCTAATTATAAATTAGGATATACTTAACCTGGGCAATACTTACCTTTACTGTATTCTGCGAATATATTCTAGTTTCTTTGAAAATGAGCCGGCAACCACAAGATTTGACACCCCGTGCGCGAGTAAAATTTTTTGTGACGGATCCGGCGAATCAAAGACGTTCGTATTTTCTAGAAGTAGATAGAGACGGATATATTGAAAATCATGTGTGGCAGAAAAGGAGAAACGTATTGTCCTCCAAGGATGACGTAACGAGGCCCCAGGAGGTTATCAAGACTACCAGCGGCTAACGCCAGATGGCAGTGCATTAAAAGCGCCAATTTTAAAATTCTGATCAAAGCATGTGGGTCCGGAAAATACAATAATCTATTCAATACTATACAATTTACAGGTATAATTCACAACCATATGCACTTAAAAATCCGTTACTCTGCCTTTTCTTTCCCAATCGCCATATCTAGTTGGTTCAGGACCTCTGGGGCCTCCTATTTCTCCTGTTTCAGGGTTTGTGTTGTTTGGAAAAGGTGGTAATGGTTCTTTTTCCGCGTAAGGATGATCAGCGAGTTGTTCGTCTAATTTTCCAATTGGAGTTTTTTCTCTTAACTTTTTCCTAAATTCTTGCATTCTGGGGCTCACTTTTTCAACTTTCTCATTGGACGAGAGTCTGATGACTGCTTCTAAAATATTTATTGATTTGTATGGCGCCAATTTATGTGATTAAGTGGAACATACCATTCAGCGCTGGCGTAGGAGAAAACGGCGAAGGTTTTAAATTTCGCAGCACGTACATTAAAATACTCATTTTTGTGAAGCAGTTGTCAAAATAAATAAAATTATGCCATTATTTATTTGGAATCATGTCAAATGGAACTTGTCAAAGTCAGTGTCATCAGCACAATTTTAGACATTACAACTCGGACTGCCAAACCTTCGTTACGTAGCGAGCTCATCAATGTGATCTAATTATAGGTTTATAATATTGTTGCTAAAGAGTTACATAATACAGATACATCTAGAAACACAATGCCATATGTTACTGCTTATTATCGATATTAAATAATATATATATATATAATGGATAATGAATTTGATACTTAAGTGGGCTATACATATTCGTTACGTATGGAATCATGGACAATTTGTAATGTATACCGTACACGATGTATACTCGTAGTTGTATCGAGCTGGGTTGCCAGATCATCTTGGTTTTCTGAATTTCCTTCGATGTTTTTTTATACTTTTTTCTCTTAACAAGAATTAAAAATAAAAGCACGTTATTTGACCTGCACAATTATATCTAATCTAACTACTGAAAATCAAACCTCAATTATCATTAAATTTGTTTATTATACAATGTTTCGATCACGGATTAAAAATAAAAGCACGTTATTTGACCTGCACAATTATATCTAATCTAACTACTGAAAATCAAACCTCAATTATCATTAAATTTGTTTATTATACAATGTTTCGATCACTACCATAGTCTTTATCAAATATAAATGACAAAATATATTGAAATCATTTGAACATGAAGAAGGTTACACTGATGACCGAAACATCGTACAATAAACAGAAATTGAAACACATATGCAGTTTGATTCGGTCAGAACAACGGAGTCTCAATTTGTTCTATCTGAATGAAGAAAACATAATCAACAGTGCATAAAACTTTATTAGCAATTATAAAATCAATATAGAATTTATCAAAAAAGAGATCTAAGTCTAAGCTCAAAATGTAATACTGGATTTCAATATAAAAATTGTCAGCTTTTAAAAAAATACACAAGTACATTGAATTTAGATGTCTATTTTCAATGCTTTTATACATTTTTACTATACTAGTGAGTATAGATGTTACCTGGATAATTGTTTCACAAAGAACTTATACATCATTGACTAACATGTTCCACCTGTAGTCAAGTAAAGAACACTTTTGACCAAACAAAAATTTTAGAGTGGATGCAAATTTAGATTTAGATTATTACTCTTTAGCATGACAAAAAGTTTCGGATCGTACGGTTGGAACTGAAAAATGTTTGAGAAACTTTTCGATTTTTGATTTTTTTGTTACGATCCTGTTAATATTATACATAATCTTGATTAAATAGTTTTGTAGAAATTGAAGTTAAGCGCTATTTTAGGCCATATACAGTAATTATTTTCAAGCAAATTTTCTATGCATTATTTAACCAACTAAAGGTAATTTTTTTCTATATACGATTCACACGTCGTGACCAAAAATGAAACATTATACACAGGACCGCATTTTAAGGGAGGTCTTCTATGTAACATTTTTTCCTCTAGGGCTTCATTAAAGTTCAAAAATAAAAACAATTTTTGTAATATCTTTGAAATCGTTAACTGGAATAAACTAAAATTTGCTAAGTGGATTTATCTAAGTACTGTCCATATTCGAAAGTCTTTACTTAAAATTAACGCGCACCAGTGGCGGAGATACAGGGGATTAGCGGCTTTATTTGTCCAAATAAAAATAGTACGCCACTGTTATTTTTCCAATCGCGCAATTTTTCGAATTTTACCTTCAATTTGCTACAAATAATTACTCTTGAGTTTTTTCCTGGAGTGCATTGTTTTCATGAAAATAAAAAAAACACGACTTTTGAATCACCCTGTATATTTACAGGACCATAAGAAAAAAATCAAAAAGATTTTCAAAATTTCTTCAGTACCAACCACAGGAGCCGAAACTTTTTCGTTATGCAAAAGAAAACTATTTCAGTTACCAAAATCCAAATTTTCATCCATTATATTATAGAATTTTTGCAAAGTTTTGGGAACATTGTGTGTTTGCTTACCAGGCTACTGGTGGGATACGTTAATCTACACTTATATCCATAGTGTGTCTAGTTAAAACAGTTGCCAAATTTATTTTTTAAATGGACATCATTGGCGAAAGAGTTGCTTTGAATCTCCTTCAATGTAAAAATCCGAATAGATAGATAAATCTTTTTTTAAACAAAGTGACGTTTTGTTTGCCTCATTTTGAAATTTTAAAGTAGACGTGATTGACACGCGCATTAAATTAGATTTTTTAATGCATTTATCAGATATAAATTGTAATGTTAAGCCCATATACGTACACCCTTAACACCTTTCTGGAGTATCACAATAAATACAAAATTTTTAAACTACATAATTTTTCATTTTAGTGCTTTAAACAGCTTTGTTAATACATATTTCTTGTATTAAACTCAACTACTTGACGCTTCATGCTGGCGTCGTGCAGCTAAGATTGTGCTGATAATAAAATGGATATTCAATAACACTGAATAAATATAAAAATATTAATCTTGGTCGACCTTTTCATTCTATTTTCGTTGTCTCCACGCCATCATATCTGCTTTAATATCATCCCTGTACAACTGTTTACCCTGTGCCAATCGTTCCGCATACTCGGATACAATGGGGTCCATTTGACATGAACTAATTGCTACCACCTCGTCTCCTTTGAGATAGTAGGCGGCAAATTTCAGTTCGTCTACGTTGCCTGAGTAGAGGATTTCGTCGTAGAGACCATGTCCTGCATACCTGACAAAAATGAAGCCAGATGTTATTCGCAAAAATTGTAAGCTATTTTTTTTTTAAGCTAAATACCCTACGAACTCTACCTTAACCTGTAGTCTCTCACAATGATAGTCTGAAATAAATTGACAACTTGGTACCTAACAAAATTCCCATAACATTAAAAACTTGTGAAATACATATATTTTCCCAATCAAAAACAGATCCATAGAAGTATTTAAAAATGGCATCAAGTTGTCCACGAAAGGTTATCTTTAGACCCTCTGAGAAAACAGTTGGTTACAAACGTGTGTGCAGGGAAATAATGCCTATTAACTAATTGTATGAACCTGTTTGACTGTCTTTTTTCTCAAATGGTCTATTTTGTGGTGGACACAATCCTTTATGAACTGATGAAGGAGTTGCACGAGAAGTGCAGAGTCAACCTACCTGACGCCATTTGTTTAAGCAAGAGTCTATATTATTATTAGATATTTCGAAAGATCTGTCCGGAACATACTGTAGAATTTTGATCGTCATTTGTTTGGTTATCTTATCAATCGTCTAAAAAATGCCTATCTTTATAGGCTTTGACTTCTATCATTTTGCGTAGTTTTTCACTGAATTTTGGGAGTCAATGTAAACAGTACGCCACCTTTAACAGGGTGCTGCAAAACGCAAATGGTTGTTTTCCCCAAAAATTATAAATGGAACTACCCGGATATTTTTACATCAAAAAACTGTTTGTTGTGCCACGGAATTGTGCAATACCGTGTATATCCGCAAATAATTTTGAAAAACACACCTATAATATGTCAATCTTGCTGTAAAAATGGTTTTCGGATATATTTTATAGTTTTTCTATAAAACTGTTTCCATTTTCGTTACGACATCTTGTATATATATTGTAAGTGTTCACGTTTTTATTAACATATATGGTTAGGTCTACCATAAAGACGAGTTAGTTTTCGTAAAACGTTGCTGGCAGGCTAAGCTCCAGCGTTAAGTCACTAAACTTTAACACCCTTTGTCTCCAACAGAAAGCATTCCTGGGTTTCATGCCCATTGGAACATTTGATCGGCATAACACTATACGAATTTTCATTAAAATTGACCTCTTCCCTGAGCTATTTTTATTTTATATGAGAAAGTGATTACATAAATGCCCGACAAACTGACTGTATAAAACTTTAGGCCATACTGCCAAAAAGGAGGACAACCCTCCACTTGATTAATTTCTTTAATATTTAGCGGCAAAACAAAGTGCAGACCGATTTCATTGTTACAGTGCGTGTTTAGTGCTCGACGACTTGGAAAAGAAATTATCGCTATATCTGCCGCGCCGCATTTGTCGTAATAACATGCATGCATTATAACTCACCTCACAGATTTTCCATACAGCACTGTCCAAAAGAAAGGTACTGTTTGCAGTTCCTTCTGTTTGCCCAACATATTGAGTGCAGCAATTTTGCCATGATAATGGGCTAGTCTGCAATAAGGAAACATCCAGGTATGTAACATTATTAGAATTAAGATCTCGCTGTATCTCTTCTACTCCTATGTAAGCACATATCAGAATTTTCATCATAACTAATTTACATTTTTCATAGGACTCCATCGTCTAGCAGAATCAAACCACATATACAGTAATGGACAAAAGTATATAGACAAATTAATATTGTGATGTATTTCTTTTTTAACTTGTTTTATTACACCAACCTGTATACATAATTCGTTATAGCATAATACTCACTTATACATAAATACATACATTAGACTCCCTTCAATAAAAAATTGATTAAAAAAAATTGGAACTATGAAGGACAAAAATATATAGACAAAGCAAAACATTTATAGAAAAAAGAAGCAAAGTTCATTGAATTATAGAAAAACAAACATGTATGTGTTAATATTTTGTAGCATAACCATTATTATCAATCACCGCCTGACATCGTCTCGGCATAGATTGTAGAAGTTTTTTGATATAAGATTCATCAATCTGTTTCCACTTTTGCTCTAAAGCGGCGAAAAGTTCAACCTTGTTTGAATAATTTTTATCTCGTATTTGCTTATCTAAGTATTCCCATAGATTTTCAATGGGGTTTATATCGGGAGACTGTGAAGGCCATTTGAGAACTAGTATTTTTTCATCCAGAAAGAATTCCTTTGCGAGATTGAAGAAGTGTGCTTCGGGTCATTATCTTGCTGGAAGATTGATCTTAAGGGCATATTCTCTTCCATATAGGATAACATGACATGATTTAGTATGTCTGTGTATACAAACTTATCCACAATGCCATCTATTCTTTGTAAAGGTCCCATCCCAAACCCCGAAAAGCACCCCCAAACCATAGCAGACCCGCCTCCATGTTTGACAGTGGGCAAAGTGTACTTGGGGTTCAATCTTTGTCCACTAGGACGTCTAACGTAATGAACACCATCTGATCCAAACATATTGAACTTGGATTCGTCACTGAAACATACCCGCTTCCAGTCACAGATGCTCCAATCAAGATGCAACCGTGCAAATTGTAATCGGGCTTACGGTTTTTCCTCGAGATTAGCGACTTCTTACTCGGGCGACGTGCAAATAACTGCAAATCATTTAATCTTCTACTTATAGTTTTCGTAGAAACACACTTTTGTCTCGATTTCGGCTTTTATTTGTCTTGGGATCTTTGGACGAAATTAGTTTTATTAATCTAACTGATCTAGCATTTAGTTTTCTAGGCCGACCACTCTTAGAGGCTTCTAAGATACCTTTTTGTTTATATTTGTTTAATATTGCCCAAACTGCTTTACGCTTCAGCTTCAAATTTTTGGCAATGTAGACTTGACGTTGACCATCTTTGTATAACTCAATGATCTTAGTTGTCACATCGAAAGAAATTTCTGGACCACTTCTCGATTTTCATTTCAGAATCGCAACTCATTAATCCCATCTCTAGCTTACCCCATCTCTAGCTTTTTTACTTGGAAACATTTCCGCTTGCAGCGCGCTTGATGCGGAGTTCCTGATCTGTGATCTTACTCGCTTTTTTTTTCACTTGAGCCGCCGATCTAACAAGAGCTGAGAATTTTGTTCTCTGTAGCATGAGGTCATATAGCACCATGTGCTGCTAGCATTTTGTAAAATGTGTGTCCAAATAGGATAAAATGATTGGGGCCACCCCCTTTCCCTTTGCCTTTGTCTTTGACTTTGCATTGCTTGGCCTATCACTTCACCCATGCATGTGCCTTGGCAGCGCCATCACCTTTAAGTTCAACTTCACTGCATCCTTCGCCTACAACTAGTTTTGAAGCCACTAAATGTGAGGTCACCCCTCATAACTGGGACCTCCACTTGAAGCACCTGGCCATCCTCGCTTCAGTCCAGTCAAAATGGACCAGCTTAGCGAAAGATAAGTGTATAGTTTTGTAACAGCGCCAAAGATTTAAAACTTTTATTATGTTCTTTAAAATTTCAATTTCAAATGTAATGAAAGTGCTTTTCAAGTTAAATAAAATCTGTTAAATTTTTGTGTTCTGTTTGTTCTTCTATCCTCTAGCCATGCCATGGTCGACACACAGCTACACGCCTGTAGATGTCTTCATGCCACCGACTGAGCTACCGGAAGCTAATGGTAACCCCCTTTCTGTGATTGTGCAGAAAAGTCGGAATCTTCATTGCATTCCATCTTTTCTGGACTTTTTGCGGAACGGAAGGCATTACACACTCAACTTATTCCACAATACTTGACGAACACAAACTAATCCTCTTCTGACAGGAAACTGTACTAAACTAATGTTGAAAAGAATTTGTCTACATATTTTTGTCCCTCATAAAAAAGTGCTTATATTCAGACTTGTATTGTGTTCATTGCAGATAATGTAAAAACAAGTAATTTAGTTTTTCTACTAATAACGCATTTGTTTATGGAGCAATGCAGTATGAATTCGTTTTCTAAAGGTATTTAGGTAGATATTCATATTGGTCTATATACTTTTGTCCATTACTGTATGTTTAAATTTCTGCTTATTGTACGACTTTTCGGCCAAACCTGTGGCCTTTTTCAAGTACAGGGAGCGACAGCATAATTTTTTTTTTAATTGCACGTCATTCAGTCGGTTGATGTAGCGCAGCGTTAATGGTCTCGTTCGAAAGCTTTGTCCCGACACAGTCCAGTCGCCATCATGCGTTGGAACAGTGAGGAGCGTGCTTTTGCGGTTGAGGACTACTTTTCGAGCGGATGTTCTGTGATCTCAACCCAGCGCGCCTTTCGAAATCGTTATAATTTAGCCCCGTTGGCGGATGTCACGGACCGCAAATCAATTGTTACGTGGGTCACTACGTCCAGAGAAACTGCAAGTGCACTAGAGGCAAGAAAGTTATACTGCCGCACCTTGTACAAATGACAATATTGTCAAGTTTTCTTAAATGGAAACCCATATTTTTGATACCGGAAATAAAAAGAGCAAGAAACTTTACGTTCAAGTCAAGGCCTTGACTATGACCATTAGGGTATTTGGTAGGTCAAACGGATTTTTAACGGGAAACATCTATTTTTAATTCCTGAAATGCAAATTGCGGACAATTTTAAGTTCAAGTATTTTCTTGACAACGAATCTGTCTATGATTTTAAACTAGTATACCTAGACATAATCTGTGTTTGTTGAGATTTAAATCCGTTACTAACCCAAAATGTCCAATAGATGCTTTCTTGTTATGCCTACACCAAACTGGGGCATATGCAATATCTCCTCCAACAAAAATATTCTCCTTGTTGGTTTGTAAGTACTGATCTACTTCGATGGTACCGTCATTGAGCATTTGTAGGCCTGAGTCTTTCAAAAAGTCTGTATTGAAAGTACTACCTACGCCCATTATCACTAGGTCCGCCTTGATTATTGTACCTGCAATAAAAAGTACACTAATGTATTGTATAGTGAATCATTAAACAAACAAAAAACCGAGAACCATTTTTCATTTGAAAATGGATGACCAATGAGTACAGGTTACCTTGATATAAAGTTTATTTTCTCAACAAGGTGAAGGCAAAGTTCTCAGACTGAAATAATACACCATAAATCATTTTTCTACCCATCATACGCCTTTGGCTTCAGGCAAATTCAAGCACTGCCAAAAATCATAAAAATATTGAAGGGTTCTTTTGAAGAACAATGTTTAACTTCTTGACCCGTTCAGCAAATATTGTACTATACTCTAGGCGCTGAAGAAAGAAACTAAACCCAAACAAATACACGCATATTGCTCGTGAGTGAGTGTTTAGGCGCAGGAGACATTACAGGACCGCATCAAGATATTATGGGTAGTCATCAAAAATTTCATACAAGATAATTATTATCTTTTACAGTAAATTTCAGTTAGAGATTCACAAATGAGTTAACTACACTTTTTAGTTATTAGTAAGTAAGCTGCGCGCACTCATTCAGAAGAGGAACTTGATCTTCTGAATCGTTTAAATGAATTATTAGAGGTTCAATTTGGGTATCGATGACATTGTCCAAATCCCACATTTTGACCTCAACCTTCTCCCGAACGTGGCGGATACAGTTTTTCCATTCCTCTGCCGTAACTCTATTGACTGCGATGTGAAAGAGATTTTTAACATCAGAAAATTTATAAGTATTATTATTCGACGCCACGTATTGCTTTATGTTGGCCCAAATCAGCTCAATAGGGTTCAGCTCACAATGGTAGGGTGGCAGTCTCAAGACAGTTTTATTTTGTTTTTTGGCCATTTCGTCGATCATTTTAAAATCGTATTTGTATTTATGTCTATTGACTATACTTATCAATTCACCCTTGACCATTGTTTCATCAAAATCGATCTGTTTTGGGGCCAGCCATTGTTGTATGTTTGCTTTTTTAGTTGCCATTGTGGGAATTTTTTCTATTTTTCTAGAATGGTACGGGGCATTATCCAGTACAATAACAGCGTTATTCTCCAGCTTTAGTAACATTTTGGAGATCCAATTTTCAAAGGAATTGCCGTCCATCTCCTCATGATAGTCCCCTGTCTTTTTTGATTCAAAGGCCCACAGTGCTTCGGGAACAAAGCCGTCTTCACTACCTACGTGACAAATGATCAGCCGTTTGCCTTTTCCTGGAAATAAATTATTCCTTACACTATGGATTGATTAAATTTGAAGGAATGAGGCAATTGAGTTCATTTAGCTGAATTTAAGAGTCACGGAATGCTGATCAAAAACTGAAAAACGTAGAAAATTGAAGTTTGCAACTTCTCAAAACCCATTCAAAGCAAATTGACTGCACCCAAAAATGATAATAAATTTCAAAATAACGCTTAAAAGAGGGTCGAAGTTTTTTTCCTAATGACTACACTGCGAATGCACCATTTTTGGAGAATGTCACACATTATCTGCTATCACAGCATATTATTTGCCCGAATTTATCAAAATTAAATTGCCGGATAGATGAAGGAGCTTACCTGCAGGATTTTTCAATCCAGCCGAAAGACCGTCTAGAAAAGCCTGCCTTGATGATGTTACTGATTTGTCGACCCAAACTTTCGCTTGAGTATGTCCAGCATTCACCCACGTTTCGTCCAAATAGTAATTTTTTCTTTTTTCATCGCGAAACTTCCGAATCTCCTAAGGTATTCCCTTCTCCACACAACAACTCTTCTTTCTCTATTAACATACTGTTTCTTCCCCGTTTCAAGAATCGAAAATTAAGTTCCTTCAAAAGTTTTCGGAATGTGGTTCTTTTAAATGATGGAAGATCCTCATCAGCATTAACTAATCTTTATATCTTATCTACTGTAGGTATCTCATTTCGGAAGAAAAAATTATACACTTTCCCCCTGATGGCAGTTCTGTCAAAGTCATCTATTCCGTCCGTTATCCTTTTTCTTGCAGGATACGGTTTTGGCTCAGAAAGTGAGTGAGTGCTCCTATATTCCTTAATGATCCTATAAACACTGGACCGACATACTCCAGAAATATGTGCTACCTTACATATAACTTCGTCCACGACCAAATCGGGTTTTTCTTGAATTTGGTTTTTGTATATATTTAATATTATTTGTTTTTCATTTGCACTTAAATGTAGCTTCTTAGCCCTTTTTTTCGGCTGTATCTGTGTCAGACATCGTATCTTAGGCAATATATAAACAAAACGTTGCACTCGCGAAAAACGAGTATACGCTACTGAATGCGTAATGCGTATGCAATGCAATCCTGTGCGTGAATTAACTGTTAGATGCCTGTCGTGTCATCTACAATCACGTTTACAAGTCCAAACCTGTGCAGATTCGTAGAGCGCCGACGACTGCTAGTGACCTTGAATTTGTCTGAAGATCGATGTTACTCCAGTCAATTTAGGTTCAAAGTGGATGTTTCCTTAACCAATTTGTTGTTCCTACATCAAAAATATATCGATGATGTTTTGTACTGGGAGCTCATGAAAGATCAAGGTAACTTATTTTAACAGTCACCCTTTTTCTAGTCTCAAGATGACACGAAAAAGGGTCTGTGGATTCACTAGAAATACACTGCCGAGGATGTTTAGACCTAAAGTGACTGGAGTATATCCGTGGATGCTTTCGAGGGATCTGTTCACGTGCTGATCACTGTTTACGTTTAATGTCTTTCTTCAGCGCCCAGAGTTTATAACAAGCACTTCAATCATTTTAAAAAAATTATACTTTACTTCCAATACTATAGTGTGTTTACACATGACAAGCAAAACTACTAACCATCATTCAACTCAACTTCTTTCACGTTCCCACAGTCATCACCGATAATGCTCTTCATCCCACTGTTGATGGCAAAATGAACACCTTTCTCTTCGAAAACCTTCTTGAAAGCAGAACCAATTTCAGGTCCTAAAGATGCTTTGAATGGTACGTCTTCTCTAAGGACAACTGTCACTTTCTTCACTTTGCTTGACAGAAAACAGGCGGCTTCCATTGCGATGAAACTGCTGCCTAGGATTGCAACTTCTTTTTGGTCAGAGAGCTGAGACTGTGTATACCTTAAAGCAAAAAATTACAAATTTTTCTTACGAACATATCTGGAATTTCCACATGACATAGAAATTGACTGGTGTTTCGACGAAATGTGAACAAATAAATCACCTGCTCTACTCCTGAGATAACATTTTTATGGGCTTCTGTGAGAAATTAGATAATTTCGCATTACATATATGAAACCATACAGGGTGACTTTGAAGTTGAGTCATTAATTTTCAGATAATGATTGTAGAAGGAAGATAAACCAGAATACGTGTGTAAAAATAAAAAAAAAAATAAAAAAAATTTTTTACCTTGTTTTATAAAGTATCCTCCCGACAAGTATTTCAGTGCGGACCTGTATTTGATCGTGAGGTCCCCTGTGAGGTCTTAAGTCACCTGATTCACGAGCCCGTTGTACTACATTAACAAAGGCACGAGGGGTTGGTTGCACTCGATTGGGAAACCGATCCGCATAAACATGTGCCATTTTTTATTTCGTTTGAGCCACGCAACAGACACTATTCACACGCTAACCGACTGACACTGACTGTATGTATAACTGAACTGAATAAAATAATTTATTGTTCCAAATTCTTTCGCTTTTTTGTTTCCGATGCGATGAACCGGTAAGGCGATTATATCCGTTGTTGCCAAACACGAGCACATGATATTATTATTGAGACAGGGCGGTACTCAAACTTCCAAAGGGCTATAACTTTGTTACTTTAATTTTACCAGAAAAATGGTAAAGGAAAAAACATTTCTTTTGATCAGATCTACTCACTGTTAAAATAAATGACTCAACTTCGAAGTCACTCTGTATAAAGCTTGAGGAACAGTAAGACATTAATGTAAAAAGTTTAAAAAAAATACACATTTTAGTTTTTGAAATATCTTGATCAAAAGTTGAAAAATCTGTGATTTCTATCATACTCATCTTTATTCCTAATGCCTAAAAAGCTATGCTACGAAACTTGAGGAGCAGAAAACCTTACTGCAAAAATGGAAGGGAAGTCTTTAATTGGCTTTTTAATAGATTTTGAAATATTTGTCTAAAAACAACATAAAGTCGTCTGATTTCGTTACTCCTAAGCGTGTTCGGAGCTCGATGTTTTAAATACAGAATTTTGAACAATCCTGTATATGCCGTATCATTACAACATTTTTTGTTAATCACTTACGCTGCATCGTCATATTCCCTCAAAACAATAACATTTTTCAGATCAGCACCAGGAATGTTCAATTTTCTAGGCTTAGCACCTGTGGCTATATACAATTTATCATAATTTAGGGGACATCCATTACTAAGAGATACTTTTCTATTTTCAATATCTACTCCTGTGGCTTTAGTGTTTGTCAGTACTTTGATATCATATTTTTGGTAAAAATCGGGATCACGAAACTGGAGTTTCTCAATAGGCATGTCCATTACTTTAGTCACCTTTATCTGAAAAATTCAATAAGTAATGCTAAGAAAAGCAAACTATGAATGAAATTTGTAAACATTATAGAGTAGTTACAAGGCATGGTATGGAATGTTTTCAACTACATATTCAAAAAGGTCACTCATTCTACTTATTTTTTGAATCAGTAAAGTAAGTAAGCTGAAATTCGAGGTAATAAAATTGTTGAATGAAACAGTATTTTAGCGTATAAGCGGAATCTGAAAAGTACCAGATGGCGGCTTAGCGCTATTTTGAGACTTGAAGGTCGTAATACCTCATGTTGAAGCTCGTTTTTTTATACTCCAGCTACCACGAAGGCCTAAACACCCATGGGATTATAGGGGGATACACGGGAAAGGATGGGACGCCACAAGGACACGTTCTGGTCCCGCTTACAATATCCGCCGGGTGGTACCTTCGCGTACGACAGTGATAGACCGTCTACTGAGTACTTTATGAGCCTAGAATAAAAAATCACTATCTTTCAAAATGTCGAACTAACAAGCTGTCGAAGTTATGCGTTTTTGAACTTTGAATCGCTTATAATAATAATAACAATAATGATATTTATTTATTTGTGTTAATACAATAGGGTGCTTACTCAGGTCAGAAAACACAGAGATAACAGGTAAATAAAAATAGATATGATAAAATTTGTATACAAGCATTCATATCATATCACAGAGATATCATCATTAATGAATTCCTCCAGTGAGAAAAAAGCTTTTTTAAGGAGGTTTCGTTTTAATTTTTTTATAGAAAATGTTAACGTCCAATGATTTTACAACAGGTGGCAACTTATTTGAGAGCTTGATTCCATAAAAGTTTCGGCTTCATGGGTAGTGTAGGCAGGTAACGTTCTTTCTGATGTATAACAGACAATTCAGGATATAGCTACATGGTAGAGTTAAAATGTTTAATTTGACGAATTCGTATCTACACGAATCTCTGTACCTTAGATCAGATATCTAGCATATGCATCGCCTTTGCACAGCAAAAATTCTTTACAATATGGGGATAGTGTCTCCATATTAAAACCCCATGAGTAATTTTCAAATGAAAGTATGCATGGTAACTCGTAATTAAGGTTTTATGAGATACTTGATACTTCATGTTACGAATGAGGTATGTTATTTTGGATAAGTTATTTATAACACTACCAGCATGAACTCTCCAGATAGGGGAACTGTCAAGATGAACACCTAAGAATTTTACTGAAGATGAAGTTTCTAGTTGATGGCGTGTTATTTATTATCTCATTACTGCACAATAATATGTTAATCTTCTCATCTTGGAAGGATCTACCCAGATTTGTAATAGAATATTGAACATTTTATTTTAAAAACTTGGCAATCGGTCATTTTCTTCCAAACTGAACGTCCCATATTTCATTCCACATCCTGAAAGGTACTTCCAAAGAAGATTAATATAAAATACTAGCATACAAACTTTTCATGATGGGCTGTTGAGTTATAAACAGCTGAACACGCTAAAAAGGTCAACATTGATAAGCTACCTGCCCATCATTCATGAAAGATAGAGATTCTATATTCTAGGATAATAAACTATTCACAAGTACCTTCAAAATGAGGTATCACACGATCCCACATTTCATCAAAAGAAAAGTTACATTGTGCTCTTAAAGCCTTGTTCCTATGATTGAGCTACTCTAAAACTAGGTAAAGGTAAGGTAAACACCTTAACTAATTTACTCACCCTATCATAAGGAAGATATTTCTCTGCACACACCAAAGTAATCTGTCCACAAAAACCTTCTTGTCTCAATGTCTCAACACAAATAGCTCCTGATGGTCCCCCACCAATTACAACTATATGTTGAGTATCACATTTATTCCTTGAAACCATGTTTCTTATCCTCTTATTGGATTCTAATTCAGATTTCCTGGCACGCACCTTTACATTATTGTCTTCAATGGTAACCTAAAAAAACAAATATATAAAATTAAATTGCATCTACACAGTGAGGTGTTAGGAGTGGATATCTACTATACTGATAAGAGGAATTATTACTGTTTGGGAAGTTAAAAATTATGCTAATTGCAGCTTCTCAAAGTTCTCTTGCTTTAAAATATACTGAAGTGACAAAATCACTGCTCAAACCAACGATTCAATCCGAAATAAAAATTATTCTGGAGAATTTTAGTTTGGCTTCCAGTCTGGAGAGTGCTTGTAAGGAAGCCGCTTTTATTATACAGTTTCAAGATTATAAATTTTCGTTCACAGTATATTACAATTTATATCTCATGGTGTAACTGGCCAGCAAATGGGTTGAATCTGAGGTATTGGAAAGATTGATTTTTCACCTACTTCAAATCAAAGATATAGGTATGCAAGCTTTGAAATGGAGATGGTACATATATAAGATAAATTTTGCCAAACATTAGAGAGTGCAGGTTACCAGAAGATTATTTCTGACTTTGTAACTCAACAGTGAAGAAAGACTGAATCTTTGTCTATAATGCTTTGGGAGCCTCTAAACAAGCAATATTTTAGTTGCAATATTTGGCTATAGGCAATTATACTCCACCCATCATGATCATATTGCTGCATTTAATGGGCTGAATACATGTATGTATACATCTCAACAATATTGCCAGCAATATGGAGCTTGTCACAATTTTATCATCAGACAGGCTATATTTGACAAAATGACTGTCGAGATGGTACATCAAGGGAGCTTACATTAGATTAAATTAACATGAAACTGAAAAAAGGCATCCATAGTTTTAACCTCCGATTTGTTTGTGCAGACCAGATACGTCAACCAAATATGTAGGATTTTAAGGAAACTATTAAATGTTACAGCCAACAAAACTTGCCAAACAGTAGAAAAAATGGCACTAACTTACTATGCATCATGTAGAAAAGTATTTAGTTATTTGCTCAGAGGTTAAATGCAAAATAATGTTCAAATTTTAATATGAGATCTCCACCTTTTGGCAGGAATGCACAGCCTAAATATCTAGTTATGAACTCAGGCTATGTACCTACCTGATAGCAAGGTAATGAATCTAGCCCTGGGAAATCTTCAATATCTCCTGTAGCGATGTTGAAACAAGCTCCATGCCACTGGCATCTTAACCTACCATCACCAACAGCACTGCTAGCCAATGGGGCGCCATAATGAGTACATTTTGTTCCTAAGGCACTTATCTTACCATTTTGCTTTATAAGCAACACCTTTTTCTCATCTAGGTCAAAGGTCTTAGGTTCATTTTCATTTAAATCGGTGACTTGGCACACCACACCTTCCACAAAGTCATCTATTTGACTGCTAATGGCTGAAACATTATAAAATGTTTTAATAAAGTCGTTTGCGACAGTCAAAAGCGTGAACATCTTGCAGTTTAGGGTACTTGAACAGAATACGTACATGAACACATCTTTTAAGCTTCTAAAATCGATAAACCCGTGTATGCGTGATAGTAGCTAGAATAATTATAAGGTCACAAACAACATTTCATCTTGATTTCCTTGTATTTTGAATAGATAATTTTTCAGGTAAACACCAAATAAAACTACTTTCAAGGTTATGTTAGGTGTACCGTAAACTGGACCTACTTCAAAACAAGAAAATCTCGCCTACTTATTTAATATGCCTACTTACGTTTATTTATTTGAAATGTAGATGATGAACAGCCCATGATTTTTGATAATTTCCGAAAATACCTGAGCTCATTCGACGGTTTTCTGGTAAGGCGCGGCGTATAACAGCGTTGGCTTGGCTCAATGCTTTCTAACAGTCGCATGCCTTGCCCCAGGGATTTCCTAAACATTTCATTGAATCTAAAATTGGAGAGGTACTTTTATCTGACAATTGTTTCAAGGACATCCGTTCAACAAATTGCAGTTAGCTATAATGTGTTCGATAGATATGGAATAACGTTCCGAATAAATAGGATTTTTGTTGAATCATTGATCACTATCGGACAATGAATGATCAGATAATTTCTTGTCATTTTGTCGGGTTATTTTATCATTCTACTGGTCATTTCTGTGCTAGTAAGAATTTGGAATAGAAATTTAAGCATGTTCCACATTATGTGAATGAAGTGTAGTTAATGCGAAATCTGACAGTAGACAGTTGACATAGACGTAGATCACTGATGGTTTTGAGAGGGATGACATTTGACAAAACAGTTATAGACTAGTCGTTTAGGTGATCGAAAAGTAGTTGAGTTAAAAGTCATTACGCAAAAAGTGAAGAGTCTAAGGACAAGATACGAACATGAATTTTTTAACACGTTTAGAATTTTGAATGTAATTTATTTATTTTGATTTTGAGAGCATATTAAGAGCAGTTCTATTTTTATATTTTTTACATTGAAACAGCTGGAAGCGCAGTAATCTAATACACTAAGAGGTTGAGGAGATTCAATTTTTGAGCTGCCTAAGGCGAGTGCAGAGCTGGGACAGATCTCTCCAGGCAGATTGTTTTACAGTCTCGACGACACACTAGGAGCACAGGAGCGCTCGTACCTACCAGTTCAGTTAGAATAAGAGACAAAAACCTGGCAACAAACTGGTTGTTGGAGCAAAAGCCCGATGAGATATGGGTAGAAAAGCGCCAGATTACCGACCGCACATCCGGTGTGAAAGATGCTTGAGATGTTTCGTTTTATAAATGTAGAAAAGAATCCCCTTGTCTAATATTAACTTCACAGTCTTTCTTCCACCATCTGCTACTTTTGACAAGGGATGCTCGTGTCAAATTATATTCTCTGTCATTTGAACTCCGAGAATCCGAAACGGATGGCTTCAAGCATATATCAAAATAAGATATCTGCTCTGGTATTCAGCTGAACCAAATTCATGTATACTTTTATTTCCAGTTCATTGGCTGAGTTGATCACTGGACAAAACCAGCGCTGACATGTTATGAAGCGAACCTGTCAATTACCCATTGGCAAACCTTCTCTGAGAGGCCACAGGATGGAAGTTTACACTATTGGGCAGCATGCCATAGTTGAATGAAACCCTTGTGATATTAAGAGCATTGATGGGAGTCTCACCAACTAACTAAATATGTTTACTCCACATATGTATAATGTAGAGCAAAAGCTAAAAAAAGATTCCAATCCGATTGCTGGTGACGGAAACCGTATCTGTCGCTAATCAAGTCATTATCTCGATGCTTCAGAATATGCCAACTTATATTTTCTGAAAGATAATTACCAAGCCCGAATTGAGCTGCATTATATACAAGTATCTCTGTAAATTAGGAAGAGTGCTCTGGCGCTGGAGGGCAATCATCAAAATATCTTCAAGTAGAGAATTCTTGAGTTCTAATAAGAAATGTCTGTAACACTATTTTTTTAAGATTCAAGGACCTAGATTTTTTCTTAACAAAATAGTTACAGCTTTCGAATTAATAATAAGTACCTAATCAATAAATAAATGCACCAAAGCAAGGCGGTGACAGTTTCTTTGCTTTAGGATTTGTAGGTTAACCTAACTTGTAATGTGATGTTCGTATTTCATATTTGAATTAGAACTACCGCTTGGAGAAATTGAGTAGACTTGAATCAAGAATATGAAAATAACCTAATATTGGAACCTGAAATTAACTTGTTTATTTTAACAAATTTTAGAGAAATTCCTGGACTTTGACGAACAATATAATAATTCCCACGTTTGACTGACCAATCAAACCACATGTCTTTAAAAGTCTTCTTTATTGTATACCTTTCGGTCACAACGGTGACCTCCATCAGTATAAAAGATACTTATTTGACAATATGTTTTATTTATCTGTCTTCCAGATAAAGTGTCACTTCGTTTCTTTTTTTCATAGTCTTTTCTCTCCTTCAGAAAGGCTGGGTTATTTCTAGATTTCTACTATTTTGTGTCAGCGTCAGTGCTCTCCTAATGTGAAGTTATGTTTCCTTTTGTGAAATGTAGGAAATATGAGGGCTGATAAAACAAACGATAAAAGCCATCACAAGCATGAATAATATCATGCAAATGGATATTTGTAACATAACTTCCAAATAGAACGCTAACACGGAACAGTAGAAATCTAGAAATACCACTGTCTACCACAAATTTGTCGTGAACACTTCAATCACTCTTGCTTCCATTTTTGAATGAGCTTTCTTGTAGGAAAAGGAATCGTTTAAAATCAATCCGGCAACATCGCATTTATCTTCACCGCGAGGTGCGCGACACCGACCGCGGTCTTCTTGGAGGCGCGGCGCGGCAGCGGCGGGGCCCTTCGCGAGCGTCAACGCGTCAGTTCTGGCCGGTGAACCGATTTGTTCGTATCAGAGCACGACGCGACGCGATCGCGACTTACGTGCGTTCGACGCGATTACCGGCACCGGCGTATGTGGCGGTAGAGGTGCGGATGCGGACAAGCCATGGCTAACAATACGCAAGCAGCAAAAAACAACATCGTGTGTGAGTGGCTGAGGTCCCTCCATCTGGGGCAGTATGCGGAAAGTTTCCTTGATAATGGATACGACGACTTGGAGATATGCAAGCAGGTGTGTTGGTGTTATAGCAGAACAGCTTCGTGTTACGTCTTCTCTGGCAAAAGTGAAAAGTTGGATGTTGGGTTCCGATTTTTATGCCAAAAAGGAAAGTCGTAAAAGGACGCAGGATGCAGAAATACGTATCATTGATAATGAAGACACAATAAAGAAACAGCACAACAACCTATACCTATATCATAAATATGTACTTTTGCTTTGCGTTTTATTTTGAAAATACTTACTTTTCAATGCAAATAAAGTTTTATTTTCCTCAATTTAATATTAACTGTCTATAAAACAAAAGCCCCAGACTACTCCCGTTATTGATAATGCATCTTGACAATGAATAAAATGAAACGATTTAGCATAATATAATGGATAGCCCGCTTTTAAAATCATGTAGAGATGTTTTGTGTTCGAAATATAGTTTTTTAAAATTTGAAATAAGAGATCAATAGGCTTTGCTCACTCTGAGCCAACTATAAGCATTTTTAATATAAAAATTGCATGCTCGAGCTTATAGATTTTTAGGTAAAATAGACCGTAGGAACGTTTATCTACTCCAACAAAACCTTATACATTACAGGGAGACGCGTGGGCGCTAGCTTTTACACAGAGGGTCTGATCATCCGCAAGAGATATCTTTTTGTGTTCTTCCTGACCCCAAAAAACTTTTTGAAGACGGGGGGGTAGCTAATTTTCCCAGAGGGGGGGGGGTGTTTCAAATCCTAAAAGCCCTCAATCAGACCTGCCGGGTATCAGACCTATCAATAATAAGGCCCCCCAGATTACAAGTGCCCGATGTGTGAAAATAAATGCTTAAAGTGTTATTACAGTCAGATGCAAGGTTTTATTTAGACCCTTACTATAAATTCCCAATCCCTGAGGCCTTAGATCGATGATAATATGATATACAAATGCTGTTGGAGCATCATTATTTTATATGCAAGTCAAAGGTAAGCCTTGCTAGTGAATCAAACAGTTTTTGAGCTCCACTTGTAGTAATTGGAGTCGACGAAAGTCAATTTTTGGGAGTTTCTGATACAGGGTACTGGTACTGTTTATAAAATGACCCATTCAAGTACCTGCCGTTGAGTAGTACATGTAAAAATCACGCAAGTTCCAGGATTTGATGATTTTGCACTGAACGTGTACGGATATTATTTGAAGGGAAAGGAATGTAGTGACGTACGAGGTGTGTACCTCTAGCTTTCAACGAAGTATTCTCAGTAAAAAAGAATATGTTGGAAAATATGAATTTAAGGGTTTTTGAAACGACCGATTCGTACACAATAGTATTTTTCTTTTCTTCCTAGATATTTACGTAATTCAAATATACAAGCGAATTAGGGCCACAAGGCTGTATTTTTTTAGATGCGTTCTGAAGTAGATACATAGTGCGACTTACGTGGCATCTGGTTTGGAGGTTACAAGGATATTTTTAGAGTCTGACAAGAGGAGGATATTAATTAGAAAATCGAACTGCAAATCATCGGAAAATTGGAATAATAATAATAAAACTTGAAACCTTATATTTATTTTTCATCAAAAATGTCGCAAAAATGACCATATAAATTAATAAACAGAAATATTATTTCAAAGCATTTTCGAAGAATCGCAAATCAGGAACATGATATTCCAGGATAGTAAACATTTATGAAGCATGTGATAGGATGCTACAAAATTACGAAATGGCTAAAAAAGGCAGAGTTTTTAGTTTTCAAAAGCAACTTTAGGTAATAGGGAATTACAGGAGTGTTCCCTTCTTGTTAGTGTATCAGCTGAAAGGAACAACACACAGTATAGCTATGTAATCAAGATTTTGTTTTTATGTGTCATCAGTGATGACAACTGTCATGTATCTTGTCTGGAGAAAAGAGTGTCACACATTCTGCTTCCGCGTATACGAGGGATGTCTTTTAAGTTTTGCATATGGAAATAAAACAACACGGTAGGTAGTTTTAAATGCTTTAGTGTTTTTCGAAGTATTCTCCACGAAGATTAATACACATATGCATGCACTCGAACCAATTTTCGAAGCACTTATTCCACTCATTTGCTGGCAGATCCAAAACGGCATTTTTGAATGCGTCAACTGCTTCTTCTGGTGACTGGAACCTATGACCACGCAGTCTGTTTCTAATTTTCGGGAAAGTAAAGAAATCGTTAGGACTTAGATCGGGACTATATCGAGGATGGTCAAATAATTTCAAAATACTGCCTTGTTTTTTGGACTGTGTGCGAGCTTGCATTGTCTTGGTGGAGGATGATTATTCTTTCGGGGTTGATTTTTCTGAGCTCGGTGATTTTGGCAAACAAATGGTTGTATACCAATCCGCAGTAACAGTTCTTTGCTCATTAAGAGGAATTGTTGCAATATGACCCGTTTTTGACGCAAATGTCGCGACCATCTTTTTCGAAACACTTCGAGAACGGATGACTTTTGTTGGCTTTTCTTCACCTTGGAACACCCAAACAGCCGACTGTCGTTTATTTTCTGGTTCATAACAGTAAATCCACGATTCATCACCACTAATAATGCTGTACACATTTTTTGAGTTCCCGGAATTGAAACGGTCAAGCGTTTTTTGACACCAATTAACCCTGGCTGCTTTCTGCTCTTCAGTCAACAGGTGGGGTATCCAACGAGAAACTAATTTTCTTACTCCTAATTCTTCATGTAAATTGCGCACAGCATCGACGTTGTCCTGGGTGACTGCCGTTTTTGGTGCACTCACCCTGGGATCGTCGCTAAGACTCACCCCTCCACGTTTGAATTCTTTATACCAACGGGAAATTGTCGACTGATGTGGCGCTTTGTTGCCGAAAACAGACAGTAACTCAGCAAGGCATTCTTGTTGCGATAATTGACTCTGAGAGTTGTAATAAATTATCGAGCGAAAATGCTCTCGGTTGAGTTCCATTTTTCTAATGACTTGGTGACACTTAAAAATTCACTGTAATGAGAACACTGCACGTATTGTTGTGAAACTTTGAATTTAAGTTTACTAAAGAGTGAGGTTAAGATTCAGTACTGACGTTCGATCCGCGCGGCCTACTATGTTTCTATATGCAAAACTTAAAAGACATCCCTCGTACATCTTCAATAAGATTGAATCAGTCCACTGCTGTTGATCAACTCCTCCAACTTTGCCACATCGACACATCTTGGTGATTCCTAAATACTCTAAAGCAAAGAGTGGCATTTTAGGTGAGTTCATGCATAAAAGTTACGATACTTCATCGTGTTTCAACGTTTTTCGACGTTTCAGAGGCTCCTGATCATTTCCAGAAAAAATTTTGTAGAGATATATCAAGTTTTTGATTGTGGTATACTTATACGTTCTAAGCATCGGTAATTCTACTTATTAGACACTTTTCACACATCATAGATTTCCACGTATATTTGCTCTTGAAACTTGATAGAGGAATGCTTCCGCTATGCTTCCCTGCTTCTTCCCTCTGCGTTCACCGGCGGGCATGCCAGTATTGGTAACTGCCCTGGCATTACTGCCCTTGTGGCTCTGTGTCTCGTCTGGTGCATCATGCGGTCATGTATGAGCAGATGCGACGTTGTCAGATGGGCGGGGAAATAGTGTCTATGAACTATGGACTTGATCCGTTCTGCTCTACATGTTCGTAGCTCACTTTTTTTTCTGAGGGTCTTTGCGACGGCGTGGCGTAATTTTATAGCGCTCAAGTATAAAATCAGATTGAATGTGTTAGTCTGTACCAATGTAGACTGTAAATGACAATGATTAAACGATATTTGAATCACATGAATATCCCACAATGACCAATCTACAGGACTTCATTTTTTTACAGGTTGGCGAGCCGGATCTGGACGCCATCGGCGTCCTAAACGCGGCCCACCGACGTCGGTTGTTGCACTCAGTGCGGACCCTTCGTGAGGAAGGGGCCGCATCCGTGTACTTTGCCCTTGAGGAGGCAGCAGCACACGCCCAGGCTGCACACGAGCCCGAAAGTGATGACGATGAACCTGTTGGAGGGGCGGACCAGTGCGCGAGTGATATGTGAGTATCCCATACATACAGGGCGTCCCAAAAGTATGGACAAACCGATATCTCGGAAACTAAGGGTGCTAGAAATGAAAAAAATTAAAGATACGATACCAAAAAGTTGTATTATTAGCTATGTAAATGTAACCTAGTAGATCAATTCTGCAAGGGTCAGCAGCGGAGCTTATTGATCAACCCTCGTATGCCAAGAAATTGTGTAACCTGGTGTAGAAAAATAAGGTATACATGGTCTGTTGTTCTTCGAGTTACTGCCTAAATAGCGACTACGTATTTCCAAATAATGGATATATGCGAATAGTTATAACACACATGTTTGCCATATTGCTGATCATAAACTTAATGATGTTTGGTGTAGTATTTAGGTTAAGTACTACATACATCCTACTCATTAACCCCTATACGAGTCACATGCTGATTGCACATTAACGTTTGAACAATTACTCCGACAGATTCGGCAAATTATGTTGCAAGATATTTTCCCAGGCATTCGTTTTCTCCAAAAGCTTATGCATTGAGCGTACTTTTGATTAACAATCAAAAAACAAGTTTACAATAAAAATGCCTGCTGAAATGCTTTGGAATTTTAAGTACTGAGTCGCTTATAGAAAACTATCAACTTTGAAGTAAAGTACCAAAGCATCTTTTTGTACAGAATATCATAAAATACTTAAAAACACTTTCAGCGGAGCGAAAAAACAATGTTTGGATTTGTTTAAAAAATTGTTAAATATTTTTCATGCAATTGGGTGGGATCCACTAAATGGATCCTTTCAACGAATACGGTTATGCAAAAAACACTCAGAATATTTTTCCAGCAGATCTGAAGTTACTACCTGTACCTGGACTTACTACTGATCTGGATATCGATGTTGTTTCTTTGATATCCATGTCTTTAGTATTTGGGTATCCATAAGTACTTCTAGGCTGTGCAGATTTTTTCGACATATATTTTATCTAAAAGAAAACATGAAGTTAATTCATTGAATTAGTCAATTGGTTGTAAAAGTTCTCAAAAACACAAATTTCATTGTTCGTTAAAACATGGAAATATACATTTTCAAATCCCACTATTCGTAAGTTGATTTAGATAACTGGTCAAGTTTATGAGATGAAATTAGAGGAATCCGGTTTTTCTGGCTAAATGAAACCACATAAGAATAACGAAATTGCTCTATTGACGTTTCGGACATCACGGTGGGCTTTTTCCAGGTAATATAAAAACAACATTGTGATAGCAGCAATACAAACCTTAGCTCATTTTCGCTTCTTACGACACTGACGCCGAAGTATTGTAACGGTGAAAAATTTAGGAAATCAGAATTTATATTTTTTGGACGTTTTATGACATGTAGTCTGCTGAAACCAAAATTTCGACAATTTTGGCCAGAAAAACAAGGTCTTTTTGTACAGAATATCATAAAATACTTAAAAACACTTTTAGCGGAGCGAAAAAACAATGTTTGGATTTGTTTAAAAAATCGTTAAATATTTTTCATGCAATTGGGTGGGATCCACTAAATGGATCCTTTCAACGAATACGGTTATGCAAAAAACACTCAGAATATTTTTCCAGCAGATCTGAAGTTACTACCTGTACCTGGACTTACTACTGATCTGGATATCGATGTTGTTTCTTTGATATCCATGTCTTTAGTATTTGGGTATCCATAAGTACTTCTAGGCTGTGTAGATTTTTTCGACATATATTTTATCTAAAAGAAAACATGAAGTTAATTCATTGAATTAGTCAATTGGTTGTAAAAGTTCTCAAAAACACAAATTTCATTGTTCGTTAAAACATGGAAATATACATTTTCAAATCCCACTATTCGTAAGTTGATTTAGATAACTGGTCAAGTTTATGAGATGAAATTAGAGGAATCCGGTTTTTCTGGCTAAATGAAACCACATAAGAATAACGAAATTGCTCTATTGACGTTTCGGACATCACGGTGGGCTTTTTCCAGGTAATATAAAAACAACATTGTGATAGCAGCAATACAAACCTTAGCTCATTTTCGCTTCTTACAACACTGACGCCGAAGTATTGTAACGGTGAAAAATTTAGGAAATCAGAATTTATATTTTTTGGACGTTTTATGACATGTAGTCTGCTGAAACCAAAATTTCGACAATTTTGGCCAGAAAAACAAGGTTGAAGTCGCTTGAAAATGAATTAATCTCAAAATACTCTTCAAGGTCTTCTAGAGCAAGGTTTAATTTAGATACTTGGCGACGTCAGAAATTGTAATTTTTAACCAAATTTTCAAGCATTAAATATAGCCACACGGCGACCCAGATCAAATTTGTCTAAACAATTACAATTTTTTGCTGGGCCGATTTTGAGCTTACCTTACAGTCATTTTAAAGATTTTCTAAAAGTTACAAACACTAATTTTTTCAGTTTACTTGATTTTTTCAAATAGAAAAGGACTTTTTCAAATATGCCATTTTCTTACAAATAATTTGACTCTACACCCTGTTATTTTATTTTCACTATTTTCCTGAATAATTGTAAGAAACGATCATATCTATAGTTTACTACATTTTTTTATTTCTTTTTCTTCACTGACGATAAAGTTATTCGAATTTTAACTTCTGGTTCGTTGCACATTTTGTATTTCGAAAGCAACACCTTCAATTGTTTATCTCGGATAACTAGAATAATAGGTATACCGAATGCAGATACGTGTTATTTGTTGTTAGGTATGATCGTTTCTTATAATTATTCAGAAAAATAGTGAAAATAAAATAAGAGTGTGTTGTGTCAAACGATTCGTAAGAAAATGGTCTCTTAGAAAAAGCCATCAAGCCGCCCCATTCTATTTGAAAAACTCAAGTAAATTGAAAAAATTAGTGTTTGTTGCGATTTACAAGATCCATGGCATCCTAGATCGAAAAATAAAAATTGAAATAAAAATGTCAAATATTGACAAGTGAGGCGCTTTTGAGTTCAGAATGTCATTCTCAATCCAAAGTAGTAAAAATATATAGGGTGTCCCAATTAAAAATCGAAAGCATGAGTCGTTTCCGATCAAACCGAAAGTACGTCAAAGCAAGTAAATATGAAAAAAAAAAAATTAAATTTATCCAAAACACGCAATAATAATAGTTATGGGGGTGAGCCACCTTAAATAATCACCCTATATGTTCGTAGTACATTTTCTGATAGGCACTAACGTGTGCCGAATATAACTTTTCACGATTTGAGCATATCGTAAGAAGTGCAGAGTCAACCTACTCGACGCCATTTTTTCTTTGCAGTGCGAGTAGTGCCCGTTCGTCGAAAGCATCCTCGGGGGGCGGTCGGTCCGACAAAGAGGGCGGCTGCAGCGGCGTGGGAGCGGCGGCCACCTTGGGGGCGACAGGTGGTGGCCAATCCGCCCCCGAAGACCCTCTGTCGGTCGCGGTGGCCGCCCCCAGTTCGGGCGGCAAATACGCGGACGAATACGAAGAGGGCAAGGCCGAATTGGTCAAGATACCCAGGGTGCAACTGAAGGTGTTGCTGAAGGAGAGGCTGCAACAGGACGGGGTCAGATTGAGCTGTCAACCATATTCCACACAGGTGAGTCAATTTTGGTTTCTGCTGTTTTTAGTGTGAGCTCGGTCTATAACTGTGTTATTATACATGTCATCTAAAAATGTTGATTACAGAAATTGTAGCTAATAGTTTGCCTCTTACTTGGAAAATGTTTTTGTCTCTAAAAGGACGGTAACTGACAGGTTTGTATCTTTAATATTTGTGAAAGGAAATAAAATTTGTGTTTTTTTGTTAACTGAATTTTGAATTCCCGCAAATGCAAGTCTTTTTTTAAAATAGTGCATAATGACGTGCGACGAATACCCAGTTCTTGAAAACGATGTCTGGTAGACGTCTCAGGGCGCTCCACTACACTTTCACGAACTCTCGATATTTTCCGGAGTACGAACAGTTCGAACACGGCCCGACCTTGGCAAGTCTTTAACTTCACCTGTTTGTTCAAATTTTCGCACCAATTAACGAATGGTGTTGACACCACGAGCACATTATTTCGATCTAAATCTTGTCGTGGCTTCCGAATCGTTGCAACAAGCATTTAAGTAAAACGTTTTAACAATACGGACGCGTTGTGGGATCGTGTAGCACTCCACGATGAATTGGACACATGTTCTTTAAACAACTACTACGGCGCCACCTACTGAAATGCGTGTATCAAAAATAGCGCGCAATTTAAATCAGTCAGTTATATATTGGTGACCCGAACATAAATTTTTTCAAATGGAAATAAATACCTGCATTCCATTGGAGATTTGCATAGGCTCATTTAAACGAACCACCAGGATATAACATATTATAGGGTTTTATTTTAAAACTGTTGAGATATTCCACAAACTACAAAAAAAAAATCTACAAGTTATTTTTCAGTTTTCTGGACAATAAATACAGGGTGGTCAGGAACGCACAATGAACTATTTCTCAGAATTTTCAAATGGAACACCCTTTCTTTAATTCCCCTTTTCACAATCCTTTTTCTGATATAATCTTTATGGGCATTTGTACAACTGCTTGTTAATTTTCATGGAACTGAATAAGAACGTGAATATTATTTAAATGACTCTACGACGGCATATGATACACTACCAATTTTAAATATAAAACTTCACTGATTTCAGCGTATTTCCAAATTAAAAGTTATTGAAGCTCTTTGTACCGATTTAACCTCAGATATTCAAACCGATTTTCCTTCAGAAGACACAAATTTCGCAAGAGTGGCGGTTCATATAAAACTCAACACCCATTCAAAATGCAATAACTGTTTCTAAAAAGTCAGTGGCGTAGAAAATACTGTTCTTTCTTCTTCTGTAAGGGTGTGACAATTTCCCAATTTCTATGCGACTGGACTGGTACAGTCTCGGGTACGAACACTTTTGGATGTATCGGCTGTTTTCATTAATACGTTTACAAAATTTCAAGACAGTACCTGAACACATTCGGAAGATGTAACTTTTTTCGATTTCGAAGTTGAAACTGCAACACCTTGTGGCTCCGTAAGTGAGGTTTTGTGACCCATATGTATTAAAGAACTTTTCGTGTTATTTTTGGAGCTGCTTTAAACCTCAGAAATATTGCCACGACTTTTTGAATCACCATATATATAACAGCGGCAATGTCGCACCCCGACAAGAAGTATGAATCGTTATCCAAGATCGGAAAGCATCAACAAATAAACTCAGAAAAACAAATACAATTTTGCGAAATGTCGTTTTTTGTCTATCTCTGGAAACACTATGCATTGCGAAACCTTGTGCCATTTTCTTAGTTACCTAGATGCGCAACTTTACTCCTATTTAATAATAATAATAATAATAATAATAAAAAATGTCTTTATTAGCAACACCACAATAGGGCGTTTAGCCAGTTGGCTACTCTTACACCCAACCCTATTGAGTGCTTCAATATGTATATACAATTCAAAGTCACATACATGCAACCTAAAAATAAATACATCGATCTGGCTTTCAACTATGTCAGCTAATAATAAGGGGAAAAATACAATCAATTGATAAATCCGCGCTATATTGGTTTACCAAAAAGGAAACAGTCAAGAACCAATACTGAACGGATGACAACACAAAAAAAAACAAAGATAATAACAACTAATTATAATACATCTAACAGCTGATTTTTAACCAGCTTCCTGAATGTAACTACACTTTTGCTTCTCCAGGCAGGGTCGGTTGACTTGTATAACCTCACAGCATTGAAAGTGAAACATTTTTGAAACAATGCGGTGTAGTGCAAAGGCATAGTCAGATTATGATTATGCCTCTGATCTCTAAGATTAATGATTCCTCTAGTTACTAATTTAATATGGAGGTAGATGGGCTTTTTACAAAATATCTGGACAACAAATTTTAGTTTTTTAATTGTATCTTGTGGGAAAAGTGCACTTCTTTGTTAATTTTGGGGCGCTGAATCCAACAATGACAATGAAATAAAAAAATTAGTTGCGGTTTAGAAACTTTTTATTTTTAAGGATATATTAAAAAAAGTAACAAGATTCATATACTTATAAGAATCACTATATGCGCTGTCTTTTTGCTGTTCTTTTATGGATCGTTTCTGGAGCATCTCTACCAAGAGTCCAACAGTAGTCTGCAAGCATGGAAGGATTCCACTTTCCCTGGTACCTTTTTTCCATTGTTGAAATATCCTGATGAAAACGTTCGCTGTGCTCATCACTTACGGCTCCGCAATTGTCAGGGAAAAAGTCCAGGTGTGAGTGTAGGAAATGTATCTTAAGAGACATATTACAGCCCATCTTTTTATACGATGACAGCATATTTTTGACAAGGGTTTTATAGTTGTCAGCTTTTCTATTTCCCAAGAAATTAGTGACCACCAGACGGAAATCATTCCAAGCAGTTTTTTCAATACCTGTTAAAGTGTTTTCAAACTGTGTATCTTTCAAAATATTTCGAATCTGTGGCCCAACAAAAATACCTTCTTTAACCTTTGCCTCACTTAGTCTTGGAAATTTCTGACGCAGGTATTGAAAAGCTGACCCATCTCTATCTAATGCCTTGACAAAGTTTTTTATTAGGCCCAACTTGATATGCAGTCTTGGTAATAAAATTTGTTTCGAATCTACTAATGGCATATGCTGTACATTTTTTTGACCTGGCTCTAGGAATTGACGAACAGGCCAGTTTTGTCTGGTGTAATGAAGTGCCTTTGCCCGACTGTCCCATTCACACAAAAAAACAGCAAAACTTTGTGTAGCCTAGCTGCAGCCCAAGTAAAAGTGCAACAACTTTCAAATCGCCACAAATATGCCATTGGTGCTCATCGTATTTTATGCATGTCAATAGGTACTTCATATTGTCAATGTTGAACTGTCTATAAACAATCTCCATTCTTCTGGGTTATAGTTTATATTTAAAGCCGCCAGTAAGCCGTTAATGTTACTGCAGAAAACCAAGTTATTCTCCATATTGAAAAATGGTTCTAAGTCTTTGTGGCGTTTACGAAAAACACATACCGAAACATCGTCTTCTAACAAGTTCCACTGCTGCAGTCTTGATCCAAGTAACTCTGCCTTACATTTTGGAAGTTCTAAATCTCTTACAAGATCATTTAATTCTGACTGTGTTATTTTGTGCGGTTGGTGGCATGACGTGCTCGGTATAAAATCAGGATCTCTTGACGTTGATGGCATATCTTCTTCCTGACGAATCACTCGATCGCCATTATCCGATTCGTTTTCTGATTCGCAAGTCTAGGATTCTGGGGGTTTTGGAATAGGATCTTCGTCACTGTGAGGCACAGGTCTCATCGCAGATGGTATGTTTGGGTAGTTAATAACCGATTTTTTTTTCTTGGACATACCTGTGGCTTGTCCAACACAAGGTACCATTCAAAAGTAACAATCATTAATATGATTTGTAGGCTCTCTCCAAACCATTGGGACATCAAAGCACATAGACCGTTTTTTGCCATTTAACCAGCTCCTCAGACTTGAAGCACATGTATTACAGCAGATGTGGGGTGCCCACTGTTTGTCTTGATCACCTAGTTTACAACCGAAATAAAGCTGATATGCCTTTGTTATTAGTGGAGTAATAGACCGTCTCTGAGACGCAAAAGTCACATCACCACACACGTAACAAAACTGATCTGGATTGTTTACACACTTTCGAGGCATCTTGCATGAACGCTGTCAGCCAACTGAGGAAAAAATGGCTTATATAAAACAATATAATGTACACGTATCTATAACGTAACACAATCATGCCGATAACATCATCTTTCCTTGCCGAATATAAAAATGTAGCACGTGCATTCTTGTGAATTACAGTATATTAACACTGTCACAGCAGGAACACATATAATTACCGTATCTCTAAAACTTGAACTAATATTGAAAAAATAAGTTTCATTCGGGTTTTAGCACATTAAAAATAGTAATATTTTGTTGATTTTATTTAGGATATTTTTTGGCTGTTGATCAGTGATATCTTATGCACAAATACCTTAAGACTATATTCAAATTGTTGATCCATTTTCAGCCATTTCAACTCCTTGATCTTAGAAAGACCATACACAAACCTACAGCAGTTGTTTTGAAATCTTTGGATTCTACACCACTAGCTTCTTACGCGTTTTAAAGTTCAAAATGAATCTATTAGCATATAGCAGTCTTAATTTGGTCTAGGTGGACTTCGATAGATCACACATGTTTGTCAAATCCTAAACTATAGTCGAAGATGACACCAAGATTTTTTGCTTGTTCCACAATAGGAATGAGCTCGTTGTTGATGCTCAATGCAATTATGTCCCATGCTCTATTATGCAAATGCTTAGGATGAAAAAGTATGCAAGTAGTCTTATCCGGATTAATCTTCATCGTGTGTCTTTTACAAAAATCAGTGATGTTGGAAATATCACAATTTATCTTGTATGATACTTCATACAGATGAGACAAGTCAAATTGAAAAGAAATGCTCGATACATGAATGTAAATCGAAAGTATATATCAAATACAGTAAAGGACCTAAGACAGAGCCCTGAGGGACACCTGAAGAAACGGCAAC